CGGGTATCGGGTACCCGATTGCGACCTCTGGGCTGCAGGAGGTATTTGATTAGCTATGAAGCTCTTTTTGACAGAAGTCCAGTATGGGCGAGTCGGCAAATTGTTCTGCGTCCAATATTGGTGTTCAATATTGGTGTTCAATATGTTCCCAACTTTTTTTGACATTTTGTGAAACGTAGAAGTGGGGGGCTGAACGTTTAACAGGGGGGCGTGGGTTGGGGTTGGGTGGGTTGGGGTGGGGAGCTTATCCCCCTCTCCCCCTCTCCAGCCTCCTCCCCCTTTTCCCCCCTCCTCCCCGCCCCCTCCCCCCCCCGCCCTGCAGGGCACACGGAATTAAATCTCTAGTTAACGCGCAGCACAAACATTAACGCCTTCGCTGAACCGAATGACCGCCATCGGCCGAAATAATCAAATCTTCCGCCGCCTGATATCCATACATATTGAGCACACGCGTTCATTCACACCTCCTTGTAAACACACACACACATACCCACACACGCATATTCAACGTGCGCGCAATCTGCCGTAATGTATTCGGCACGCCGCCGGGCGGCCGGGGAGGCGACAGCAATTCCTTACGACTAAAAGCCCTCCTGCATTATGTTTTATTACAACGAAACCCTCGCGTAATGGCTCGGCGCTTATGAGCTGGAAGCTAATACGGGCGGGCGACAATTCAGGCTGAATTTTAAGCGACAAGGGTTTTTGACTTGTATGGCCTAGAAGCTCCGTATGCGCGGCGACAAACGCATGTAGCGAGGGGTGAAAGAAATTCCAAGTCTTGATGAAATATTTTTCATTTTAAAATCATCACGGCACAGGCCCCAAAGGCCCGAAGATGGCAAGCGATTTGTGACACGCAAAAAGCATCGCGGTTGAAGACGTCAAAACTACGTTAAATAAACAGTTTCTTGAATTTGCTTGAATTGAGCGAGGCCACGTAATGTATGTATGCTGAACTTCCTTCACGCCATACGCAGCCAACCACGCTACTCGGAGGTGCGGGGGAAGAGCGAGCGGTGAGGGGGAGCGAGTGGCTACAGGGAGCCGTCGCCTGCCGCATCATCCATCAACCCGACCGCTGCGCGTTGGCTTCAGACACCGGGAGTGCGTCTCAGATGTCGGCGTTGGCCGGGACGTCGGCCGTTGATTCGCGCGCAGAGCGCCGTTGAAGGTCGACTCCCCCGCCGTCTGCCCCCCAGAGTTCCACACGGACCGTGATCTCGAGACAGCAGGGGTTGCGATTGTGATCCAAAGGACCGTGCCACGTGACGTCGCCATGCTGCGGTGTATGACGCCGCACGGCCTCGTTCGTCAGACCAACAAGGCACGGTTATGGCCGTGTAAATTGTGTACCGGTATTCGGGCGAGTCCCCCCCCCCGCTGTCCCCACAATCGTGGTCGGAAATCACCGGTTGACGAAGCGTGCCAACAGGCACACGAGCGTCGACTCACGCCCGAGGTGTCGCGGCAACGCACCAACCGTCTGACCATTCGCCAACGACGTTTGCGGCCAAAACGCGCCGGAGCCTCCCTCCCTCCCCCACCCCCCCCCCCCCTCCAGCCGTCACTTTAATTGCGAGTGAAACGTGAAGGACGCACGCCGGTTTGTAATCTCGCGGCGTGATGCGGATGTTTATGGCGGCGCTCTGTCAGTTTCATCGTCGTCTCAATGGCACCTGGTTATATATCGCGGCGGAATTCCCCCCCTCTTGATATTTTGTCGTGTATTTCTGCTCGCGGAGTGATGATATATAAATATATATATTTATATACACGGCGACGGAAAAAACCGGGGTGGGGGGGGGGGGACTCACGTAATGGATGGGGGTGAAGTATGGAGACAAATCGACTTCCATTTGCACCGGCGCTGCTTGCGCACTCGCCTGGCTTAAACCGGCAACAATTTAACTTCTGAACGAGTGAAAAAGAAACACAAATGGAAAAAAGACATCTCGCCAATCCCAGTAAACATTCAGTGGATGCGAATCGCTGCATCGTCATCATCATCGTCGTTTTCGTCGTCTTCATCGTCAGCCATTGTCTACCCACTGCTGGATGAGGGCCTCCAAACTTGCCGTGGTCAGCGCTGACGGTCCAGCGCTCGCTCTTGGACGTGGAACTGATTTCACCGCTCCATCTCCACTGTGGACGTGGCCCCTCTCGGATGCGTTACCGTCCTTTTGGCCGAAGTGCCGGTGCGGGTAAAGTGTGTTGGTGTCCCCAGATTACACCATTGGAGCCTTTTGGCGTCATCTGGTCCAACCCATGTGAGACTAGGCTCTAAGGAAAGCTGTCTCGGGAGTGGACCAATCAACTTCAAGGACAGTGCATACATTATCAGAGTTATGTTTTTTGTTTGCATTATGACTGCAGGTATTGTGGTCTATGCAAACATGACTCCTTGTAAAAAAAGGTGTCAGTTTTGTTGCCAGAAAAAAGGGTAAAAAACCAATTATCGTCCCCAGATTAGTTAATGATCATTTACAGCCGCTCTTTCAATCCGCTCCTGGATGAAGTCCTCCCCCACACCGTGTCGGTCGTGGGGGTAGTTTGACCATACTTCACCTCCTACACATGCGTGCAATGTACCGAGAGGTGATTTGGAGCGGGGTTTATATCCACTCCTTGCCGACTTTGCCGGGCTCCGAACAGCCGAGCCACGGACACGGAACCCCCGGTTCTCCGACACTGAAGCTCGGCAAACGCCCCCTGAGCTCCCCGGCGACAATGAGACCACTTCCTAAATCACAGGGAGAGTGCTTCCACGACCACGTCGCAGGGTGGCTGCCGGCCAGTGCGTTTTTGCTCGAGGGCTTTTGGCGCAATCACGGCAATTTACACCGATTTGAGAGAGCGTCGTTTATTTCTGAGAGTTCCGTGCGCGCGTCTGCGCCTGGGGCCGACAACCGTCGGCCACGCTGGATTGTGCGAGACCGCCGCTGCCGTCCACTCGCTCCAATGCCCGAGCTCCGTGCGCGAGGCTCACACCGTCGATGACTTGAATGTCCGTCCTGTCCTGTGTTAACCTATGCCACCCTCTTGCCATCTTATGCCACTCCATGTCACCTGATCCTATGCCATCCCGTGCCATCCCACGGCATCCGGTGCCTCTCTGTGCCATCCCAAGCCATCTTATGAATGTGAACCTCTCAACCAATGTCGTGCAGCCATGTGCCACTCTGTGCCACCCCCACACAACCGAGCACTTTCCCAAGCCTGCCCACTTTCTAGCGGCACGAGAATGATGGTGTAGGCGCTGCGGTGGTTTCGGCCTGCCAGAACAATGGTCCCTGCTGGGATTTTCTCTTCTTTATTTTATTCGTCCACGAAATATTAGTTTCTGCATGGAGGGACCGGCTTGAAATTGGGCTTCTGAGCATCGCTTGCTCCCACATGATATCCGTCAGTGGCCACGCGACTCATTGACAAAGGCACGGGCGGGAAACTCCGCCCGGGCGGATGATCCCGTGGCCACACGGGTCACGTGACTCGCTTTTCATCTCGCTTCAGCACGGCGGGGTCACGCGCCACGAGGCTTTGTCATCTCCTCGGGGGGGAGAATAATGTGATTTTTTTTTTGCCATGGGAATCGTTGCGAGGTTGCTCCACCGTCCCTTCCCATGAGTCTTAAGTGGGGCGGAATCGTCCAGGTGTCTTGCGCCGACGATAACCCCCGCAGCGACCAAGCTTAGATCAACAAACGTCAATTTTAATGTCGGAAGCCGGCAATGCGGTCTATAAGCGGCAAGCGCGCTCGGAGCTCTGCGCGGGAGACCGGTAGTGTGGCATCGTTGGCAAGGACCCGCGGGCGTGAGGATGGAAATGGGACCAGCTATCCCTGTCCCATTTTTTGCCCTCCTCTTCGCAGCGCCGGCGTCTGAGTGCCTCCGGAAACCACGGCTCCCAGTGGGCATTGCATCCAACCACCCGCACGCTCGATATGTACGTGCGTACGAGTGTACGCTGAACTTCTTTCGCACACCGTATGTAGCCAACCGCGCTAATCGGAGGTGCGGTGGGAGGGCAGCGAACTAAACACAAAAAATAAGTTGCGAAGAAAATTAGTTTTCAATGTGATCATTGCTTCGGAAGTCTCGGGGCAGCCGTTAGCCGGCCTCGCAGACGGGACCGGCAAGACGAGGTTAATCGAGGGTCGGCAAAGAAGGCGAAGATGAAAAAGAAGAAAAAAGTGGCCTAATTAAGATGTAATGCGTTTTGCAGAGCGGCGAGATGGGGCCCCGTATGGCGAACGACTGGGGAGCAATTTCGATCAAGCGAAAAGAGCACGCCCGTGGCACTGGGCAATCAGAGCATGTGTTGGAACCGGGAGCCAAAAGTCAGGACTCTGGCATAACCGTTGTTTAATTAAGGTTTGCCCTTTAAAGATAGAATGCATATTATCAAAACCCCACGCAACACAACCTCCTAGAAAAAAAAAAAGAAATCCTGCCGATTGAAGCTCATTATTGGCTCCTGCTCGTTCTAAGCCGCCGCTCGCACACATCGACTTAGCACAGCGAGCCACGAAGTCCCCCCCGCCGTGTGCGGCCCTCACCGCCCACGGCGGCACACATTCCCACGTCCGCCAATCTTCCCCGCTCCCAATGCAAATGAAGTGATTTGCGTTCTGCACGAGCCCGATGTTTGCTAAACGTACCCCGCTTGCCGTAAGGGAGCGCCATATTGGAGTGCGATTGCGATAGATCGCAACAGAATGAATGTGTTTCTGTGGTGAGATGCTAACTCTCTCGCCTGATATGCAGGAGGTCGTGGGTTCGATCCTGACCCTGACGCCTGCTGCTGTAAATTTGAAGTTTGCGTGTCTCTTTTCCCTTGGTCGCGTGGATTTTTCTCTCCGGGTCATACTGCGCTCGTTTGCTGCCGCCACCGCTGCTGTTGCTATTGTTGGTTGCAGTGTGTTTGGTCGCGGTATGGTTCGTCACGATGTGGTTGCTCGCGGTGTGGTTGCTCACGCTGTCGCTGCCGTCGTGTTTCAGGAGGAGTTCGAGAGCATGCTCGCGATCCACGAGCGACGGCGCGTGGCTCTCCAGCGCGCCTGCGAGGCCACCGACGGCTCCTCCTCCTCCTCCGCCTCCTCCCCGGGCGTCGCCGCGTACGACGCCGACGACCCCGGCGACCCCGACGCGGCGGAGACGCCGCCGCTGAGCCCTGAGAGCCTGCGCCACCTCCTCGTGGACGACGAGCACCGGCTGCTCTACTGCTACGTGCCCAAGGTGGCGTGCACCAACTGGAAGCGCGTGCTGCTCGTGCTGACGGGCCAGAGCGGCGGCACGCGCGACCCGCTGGGCATCCCCGCGGCGCGGGCGCACGTGCAGGGCACGCTGCGCTCGCTCGCCGAGTTCCCGCCGCGGGAGGCGCGCCGGCGCCTCGCCTCCTACGTCAAGTTCATGTTCTCGCGCGAGCCCTTCGAGCGCCTCGTGAGCGCCTACCGCAACAAGTTCACGCAGGCCTACAACACGGCCTTCCACCGGCGCTACGGCACGCGCATCGTGCGCCGGTACCGCGCCAACGCCACGGCCGAGGCGCTGGAGGGCGGCGACGACGTGAGCTTCGGCGAGTTCGTGCGCTACCTGCTCGACCCGCGCACCGAGCCGTTCAACGAGCACTGGGAGCTGGCGAGCTCGCTGTGCAGCCCGTGCCGCGTGCGCTACGACGTCATCGGGCGCTACGAGACGCTGGAGAGGGACGCGGCGTTCGTGCTGCGCAGCGCCGGCGCCGACCGCCTCGTGGGGTTCCCGGCGTTCCCCAAGCAGACGAGGACGACCAACGAGATGACGGCCAAGTTCTTCGAGAACATCACGGCCGAGGACCAGGTGCGGCTCTACGAGCTCTACCGCCTCGACTTCCTCCTCTTCAACTACTCCGTGCCCGGCTACCTGAGGACGCAGTGAACGGGATGCGGGCACGGAGCCGCGAGAAGGGGGATGAAGTCGGGGGGGTGAGGAGGGGGGGGGAGTGAAGGGGGTGCGGGCGCAACCGTTATTTATTTGTTCCGTGCAAAGATACAAAGGAAGCAAAGCAAGCGGCGTCTCATGACACCGACTGTTTAGCAGCTCGGTGCGATTCAGAGTGGTAATTGACGGCGCCATCTGGTTGGGGGCACTCGTTTACCAAGCGGGGCGCAATCAACGCCGCCATCCCCGGCCTGACCCGAGCGCGGTAATTGCCCATCGGTCGCGCGGCTTAGAGGACTCTTTTAATTTTTGTTTTCTTTCCAAAAGTGTTAACTGAAATTCTGACAGGGGGAGTATTTGCACTGTTGTGAAACGTTTGGACTTGTCGGGTTCAGCCCCCTTTTTTTTCCCTCCCTCCCGCGCGTTGAAAAGTGATTTAGTTATTTGTCTGCGTGAGTAATTAGTCGAGTGTTATTTCATTTTTTCTTACTGACGCTTTTTCACGGGTCAGGGCCGAACGCGTTACACCTCTGAGTCAGGGGAGGGGGACCTTTTAGCCACCGCCACTGCCGCCGCCATCTCAAGCGGCCTGGCGTTCGGACCCTGGTGCTAGAAGCCACGTGGTGTTTATCGCCGTCCGCCGTGATTGCACAAGTTGTTGGGACAGCTGCTGGAGGCATTCCCGGCTCTCTCTATCTCTCCGTGAGCCGCGCGGCATTCCAGCCCGCCGTGGTCTCCGTTTACAGAGCGGACAGTTTGGTTTGAACACGACAGCTGGAAGCCAAAACTGGCCTTTTGATATAAATCTGCATCTCCTACACCTCGCCTGGACGCAGCCTTATAAGCGATGTCTCAAGACCGGTACGCAGCTGCACGAGGAGCGGAGGAGGTGGATTAGGAGCAAGAGAGAGAGAGAGAGAGAGGAGGTGAGGGGTGCAGTTGGAATTCCTAAATTGCTGATGGCTTTTGCTCTTTGGCCCGTGGGCACTCGTGAAAGACTCCAGAAGCGGCCTTTGAGAGGCCTTCTAAAGCAGCGCAGCCCACGGAATGTTTTTTTGGCTGGCAAGTTATTTTTTTTTCTCCTCCTCACCGTGCGATTGCGGTTGACCTCGCATACGGAATATAAACGAGGCGGCGGTACAACCGCTCACAGACCACAGCGCGCCCGGCACGCACCCGCCATGCATCACGTTCACTTTGCACTAGCCCATCCGTTGTCACGGCCCTCATGGTGACTGACGCTCCCTTTAATTACCCCGCCACTCTGGACAGAACTGTCCCGTTTTAAACTGGCCACCAGAAAAAAAAATGCATCTCATTCTATCACCCGCTCATTGCATTGCGACAATTTCACACGCTGCTAATCCGGTCGCTGGGCAAGAGAAATACACACAGAGCGTGCCGCTGCGGAGACGGAGCGATGAGATTGGATCATGCGCAGGAAGGAGATTAGCCGGTGTTTTCATCCAGCAGTGGGTAGACCACGGCTGAAGTTGATGCTAAATATTTGATGGTGCTAATTGACTGCCGCATTGCAAGTCCGCCAGAAATGACCAAAAATCTCGAGCGCATATATCAACCACGCTGCCCTCTAAAGCGATAGAGCGGGGCCATTGCCCAACACTTCACCCTTTTTATATTTTACTTTCAGACTATGGGTTAATGGACAGGTGGGTTTTGTTATTTGTGCTCGCACGCCACTGCCGGCGCAGCGTCACAATAAAAAATGTCCCATCCGAAATCGGCCACCCGCGGCACATTTCAGAGTCCAAGCGGAGACGTCGCACAACGGGGCAGCGGTTGGCATAACATTTTATATTTGTCGCGGGCGTGCTATCGAGCAGCTCGTGTCGGTGGAAGGTTTACACCGTGTTACCAACAGTGTTACATATGTACGTTGAACTACTTTCGCAACCGTACGTAGCAAACCGCGCTAATCGGAGGCGCGGGAGAGAGGACGACAAACGGTACGCAACAGCAAGAAGCGGTTCTCAAGAAGTGAGTTTTCAATCGGCGACGATTTCAACGATTTACGGATTCCGCCACCGCCCGGTGTCGTGGTGGTGGTGGGGATCGATCGCCGATGCCCGCCGCTGGTGGGCACCAGTGGCCAGGGGCAGGCTCTGCCATGCCTCTGCGAAAACGTCCCCGCTGCCAAGTCGGACAGCTATCTGGGACGAAAGCTTCGTGGGAGGCGTTTTAACATTCGGAGACCTTACCGAGATTGGGGGGTGGAGGTAGCGGATATTTTTAGTTTCCGTCGTTGGTGTTCGCGAACGTAGAGTGGAACCAAACGGCGAAGAGAATGGATGTTTCAATAGGAGTGAGGCCATGACAAAAACAAGATCACGAGACTGTGTTATATTTTTATAACAAATTAGCCATTTTTTTGTTATTTTTGTATGATTTATTTTTTTACATTATGGGGATGTTTTTTTTTTTGCTGTTAAACAATCATGGTGTTCTATCTCCTCTTAAATGATTGTTTTAAACTCGGTGGTGATGGCCTACAATATTTTTTTTTATGTTCACGATGTGCTGCGGTGATGGTTATTCATTGCTCAGTTAGGTCCACAAACAGCATCGAGTCCAGGGCTTCATTTCAGCTGTAGGAGGATCTGTCTGGAGCTGAGCTCCAGATAATATATCCATTAAACAGGTTTTTTTCATTTTATTTTACCAGGTACGGCCCACTGAGCTCTGTAGCTCTTTTTCAGAAGCGACCTGGTCACAAATGACAGCTCAACGAAGTGGCTTATCATCACGTGGAAATGTATAACAGCCAAATACTCCCAAACGCGTGATGTTGATTCTAAATGTGAAGGGAAAAACCGGAGGACCCTAAGGAAAATCCACGTGACCACGGGGAGGACATGCAAACTCTAAGTATACAGCAGGCATCGTCAGGGTCGGGATCGAACCCACGACCTCCTGTATACCAGGCGAGGTCGTTAGCATCTCCTAGCCACCGTGGCGCCAACAAGAAAGGAAGCCCTGATCATGTGACTCATGAAGGGGGCTTGTTTTCTCATTACATTTTCCTCGGCTCCAGATAAGTGTAAAGAGGGTTGTAAACGTTTTTATTGTGATGGACTTCACAGAGCAATAAAGGGAATGTACGCAGTTTCGGTTTTATTTTCGTTTGGAAAGATGCAAACGTGGGCGGCCAGAGCATGGAATCTCATCGCATGCCTCGTGATAAGCGCTCGGCGCCGTGGTAATCTTCGTGGCATAAAATGAAACTCCCTCGGCGCTCGTTCACCCTGTCAGCGATAACGTCACCGTCACATCCATCAACGCCCCGGCCCAGACGTAATTACTCTTGAGAGCGAACTATATTACAAAACATCGCTCTATAAAAGACTTCTTTCAGAAGACTATTTTTTTGGAACGGGGCACCGCTGCAAGGAAAAAAATTTAATAAAAATGGGACGCTGAAATAATTAAGTGCGACTCTCTTGCAAAAAAAAAACATTTCCATCAGCGAGCATTTCGGGAACTTGGCCGTACGTGCCCTCGGCCGCGAAAAGCAACGCCGCAGTTGTTGTCGTCTTTTTTTTCTCCGAGGCCGGCCAAGCGTGCGCACGTTTTGTGTAAATGTTTAATCTGCTGCGTCGGCGCTGATTTCTACCGTTGGGTGAGAAAGAGCTCTCCCCGGGGCAAACGGGGCGCAGTGCGAGCATGTGCCACCAGCCCAACTCCCTGCCGGCGTGCGGTGGCGGCGGTTGTGTAGATAGACTCCCTCCTCTTCTCTCCTGGGATGGGGGCGATTTCGCGTGTGTTTTTTTCTTCCGATTGTCACTCACCATTGAGATAGCGGGTTCGTTGAGCAGAGATCCTGGCGTTTGAATCTAGCTGGCCGCCTGGGACGAGTGAGTGGATGGTTTTGTCCCGGTTAGCACGCAACGAAAAGCCGCCGAGGTACATATTGATGGCCATTGAAATTGTCTACAATTTAGCTTTGGGAATCGCAAATACTGGTTTGACTGTCACGTGATGGCATAGCAGGTGGGGAAAAGTGCTGCCCTCTACTGTGTGAACCAGAGGTCACTCGAATGAATGGATCTCAGATGTCGCTCTGTGACATCCACTTCCACGGGATGACCTCAAACACAAAAGCCGGCGCCGCTGTGCGAGAAATCCGAATGGATACTTTGGCTCGTTAAAAGGAGCGTGCAATCACTGTTAAAGATCGGGGAAATTATCAACGGAATAATCAGCCGCTGTTCATGTTCAGTCTGTATAATTGTGAAGGAGCCAAAACCATTATGTAGACGGACAGAAAGTGTAATTTCGTGAAAGAGTTGAATTTTAGTCTACGTTTAATTTCCCAGAAATGTAATGCCCTGAGCTTTTGTGATTAATAAAATGTTAAGGGTACAAATTATTTATACGGCTGTCTGGCCACATTAAGCAGCCCTGGTCTCGCATTGCGCTGCACTGGAGGCAAATTAAATTTAGTAAGCCGATTAGAAAATCGTGCATTTAAAATCGTTCCTGCCACCAATTTTTATTCCCCCCCCCCCCCCCCCAATTAATATTTATAAATTGTACGCAGCACTGCCGTAATATTTTATTAGCCTGGCACAGCGACGTTGATTAGTTTCATGATTAATACTACAAGGTGTAGGCGCAGCGTGGAAATCCCATGCCTCGTGGCACTGCTGGTAGCAGGGCCTACACTAGACGCAAGGGCCTAGGGAGATTCAATCCTGAAGGGCGCCTTAGCCTCCTCTTGATTCTCTAGGTGGAGTCCCCTTCCGCCAGCCGTAGCGTGAGCAAGCAATTGCAGGGCTGCTCCTTCACCCTCGTACACTGAAATGCGTTCGGCACGATTACGATGGGATGCCGGCTGCGGAAGAGGAGACCGCAGAGGAGGGGAATAAGAATCAATTAAGGGGCGTCTGCGAAACACCTGGAAATTTGTTGATGAAGAGCTTCATGGCTCGTCGGATTTCTCCGGGGAAAAATACATTTTCCCATTCTGATTCTGAACACACTTCTTGAAATAAGACAAAATAACGTTTTTTTTTTAAAACACCAAGAAGCTAAACCAAGAGGAAATTATTTGAATCGATTCTTGAATAAAATCGTGACCCTCGCGAGTGAATCGTTCCATATCTGGTGACCCCCCCCCCCCCCCGCCAAAGGACTCATGTTAAGGCCGAGTTGACCGAGGGGATGTTCAGGCCTCGTTACCTCTGACGGAGAAGCAAAGCTGACGGACGTTCCCACTCTAGCTGCTTCCGTACAACTAGACTCCGCGCCGCGGCACGCCGCAGCCGGAGCCGGCCACGGCGCCCGCCTGGCCCGGCCACTTCGTTAAACCGCGCCGAGGTTCGGAGGCCAAAGGTCCCCCCCCCACTCCCTCCTACACACCACGCGGGGTCACGGGCGCAGGTCACGCGTCGACCCCGCAGAGCCCAAAGATCGGCGCGACGTGGGAAGGTTGGAAGTGTTTACGATGCGCCGAGACTCACAAACCGCCGAGTGTTATCGGTGCGGATGTTTGTTGAGCCAGCGCCATACGGTTATTGCTCTTCTTGTGGTTATTGTTATTATTTAATGAACAGAAAGGCCTTCGAACGGGTCGAGAAGGCGATTTGCTTTTCTTCCCTCTGAAGTTGTTCGGCGTTGACGGACGTACGGCCGAGGAAACGTGAGTGCGCCTCTGTGATGCGGTGCTCAATTCCAGGTGCGTCACGAGTTTTACTGTGAACCCCGAAAGTGAACAAATCCATCTTTCCACCTGGCCAGGGAGCAGGGAGAAGCAAACGAAGGCTGGGTTGTGCACAAGCAGGGCTTAGGGTTAGAGATAGGGACGGTGCTATGGCGAGACTCTGGATGGCTAGCGGGGAGTTGGCGTTCCGGCCGGGGTTAGGGTCAGGGTCTGGTATGCTGAGCTGATCAAGATTAAGGTCTAGCTATGAACTGTTTGCCTCACTGTGGAGCGTGGTTAAGGTTAGCGCCAGGGTATGGTGATAGCATGGTTCGGGTTTTGCGGTTCGCTTGGCTAGTAAAGTCAAAGATTAGTGCTCGGGTTACTGTGCAGTTGGCGACTGCGGTTGTGGTCATTGCCGTGGCTAGGATCTGATAGGCTCGGGTAGTTGGAGTAAAGTACCTGGTTAGGGTCTGGTTGGCTATGCCTACGGTGTAGTGCTGTTTATTGCTGTGGTTGGGGTCTGGCCGGCTCTTGCCGTACAGCCCCGAACCCCCCGCCCCGCACCAATCCCACGCACGGCGCGATGCCCAGGCGAGACCGTTGTCCGTTGAATTCGCGTTACTACCGGCAGCGCGCGTTACTGCGATCTGCTAGGAGTTCAATTAGACAACTGCTATTTTGGATGCCATTTCTTTATTGTGGTATCACGTGTGAAAAGGAAACGGCGGGCGCGGGGGGGGGCAGCCGTCAATTGCGAATCGTCGAATCGTTTTCCGAGCGCAGTCGCGTGTTTTTATTGCGGCTTTTAATTCGTCTGTCTCGGTTTAATTTTGCTTAAATGGTGAATTTAAGCAGGCGAGGAGCGGTCCGTCAAATACTCAATTACTCACACCGTTTTCGAGAGAACGACGATTGTTAATGAGCCTCCTTCATGAATAAATGGTCCATCTCCTGCCTTTTAAATTGCGCGGTTATAATCCCCCCCCCGCTCCCCCCCGTAATTTATTAACGCAACATATAAAAGTGTTGCATTTTGAGCGCGGTTTCAGATAAATGTTTTGCGTTCAAGTCAGTGTTAACATTATTCATCTAAATTAAGTTTACACGTTCTGCCTTTATTTTTAACATCACTCTCCTTGAGCTGGGCTTGTCACTGCTGCTGCTACCGCCGCCACCGCCGCTGCTGCTGTACAGCCTAAGTGATGTATATATGTCAATATTAAACGCTTAATTTATACGGCTGCATTAAGCAGCCAAGCTTGCCTTAATAACGATGAATGACGTGCCATTTCTCATCGCGTCAATTGTGAAAGAGAGTTTTTTTGCGAATCATTCCGCCGACATCTGGGTGATTAACGAGCCGGGCACGGGGGGTGTGTTCGCAATCCGTGGCTTTGTCGATTTTCACCGACGATAAATTTCCGGCAGAAACGTTTTAATTAATTCACGGCAGAGCGGGCGGCCCCTGCAATTACCGAACAGCAACAACCCCAGAATCTAGTTTATTCACATTAAAACGAGAATTGCTCTCGCCCATCTCACCGCGGTGATGACCTCCCAGGTTCCGCTGGCTTGCGACGGGAATCATCCGGCTGTCTTGAGTTCCCACTCGATCACAAACACACCCCGACCTCAATTCATTTGTGATTGTTCCATTGGCAGAGAGAGACAGAAAGGTGGCAGGCAGAGAGACCCGCCACTCTGCACCATCTCCCTGCGTCGACTCTCCGATGTGTCGGGGTTTCGGGTCATCGCCGCCTGTTGTTGTTGTTGTTGTTCTTGTTCGGCACGATGCCCGACGTTTCGCCCCAGGTAACCCCCCCGGGGTTGCTCCTTCAGAATTTGGTTCCTGACAGAGGTCGACCGGCGCGTGCAGCGAAACGTCGGACGTCGCAACACGAAATGACATGGCCGCGGAAAAAAAACCACCGACATTGCCCCCCCTCCCCAACTCTCGCCACGGCCTCTTGGTGCCAAGGGATGTCCATGGGAAAGGAGGGGGGGGGTCTGATGGTGGGGGGCGCGGATGTCGGCCAGCCGTGGGCCATGCACAGTCGCGTTAAGACGGGATAGTGGTGCGCGTGTCCGGGCTCGCCTGTGCGGGAGCGCTTGAACTCCGTGAGTTACACGTCGTGTCAAAGAATAAAGGCCTTGAGTTGTCATGTGTGACCGAGTGTGACTTTTCTTGTAGTTATCCCACGGGACCTTGTTTATGGCAGTGTGAATGTGTGAAAATTAAGACTAAGTGTTTTAGCCTGTCTGGCAATTGAACAGGAGTTGTGTGTAGATGTACAAACACCAAATAGAAACCTTCAGCAATTAATCAAGTGACTGCATTACGCACGCAGTCCTTGTGGTGAACATTTTGGCATTCTCTGGTCTGACACTGGCGAGACGAGGCCATGAAGAAGGCTGCTGCTGTGTCTGGTGTAGGCCAATCAGGTGCATCGATAATGCCCATCGATTATAATCACAGAGCGTGTTGTGTTTGCATGTTCACCACAGTACTGGATTCCTTGCAATAAAAGGTTTCTATTTGGTGTTTAAACATCTTAACACCTCCTGGTTTATTGCCAGAAAGAGTAAACACCTATTATTATGTTGTTGTTTTAAACATTGATTTTCAATCTAGTGAAGCCTCCAGCACGTGCATCATTCCGCTTTACATGCCAGGGCAGCGCCAGCAGCAGCAGCAACGACAAACACATTGCCGGGCGTGTTTACTTCTGGGGCAATTTACTCTCTCTCTCTCTCGAGTGTGGGAAAGCATTACACACAAGCGTGGCTATGGATTCGTAATCATCCTGAGAATTGTCAAGCGATTAATAACAAAGTCGATGCTTCTCACCTAACGGGTGGTGCATTTTGTGTATACAACAACAACCCTCATTCGCCACTGCGGCGCTTGTGCCAGGCCATGTGCACGTTAAGGCCACGTGAAGTGTCGAACGCCCGCTAGTAGGTCACGGGACAGACCAAGGTGTCATGGGTCGACTGGGATGACTGGCCAATGCATCACCTGTGCCCGCTACTGTGCCAACTTGCTGTATTTTAGACACCTGGCGCTCTGCTCGTTGTTGTGAGCGTCGCTCCGTTGTTGCTGGAGGGTGACTGCCTCTAACCGCCCAGTAGCGTCCTTCACGAGCCTCCTCCACAGGGGCCGATCTTGACACTGCTGGTACCAGTCATCGGCAAGTCCACTCAGCTCCACATCCTCCTGCACCATATCACTCCATCTCTTCTCTAGCTCGTTTAGCCCCCTCTTTCTGGCCGAACAAAAGCTGTTTAGGCATGCTGTGTGGCTGGGCGTGCGGGCTACCCGACCCCGCCAACGCAGCCTTGCCTCCAGCCAGGGGGTCACGTTAAGTCGGCACGTTTGTATTGCAGCCTCGGTCTGGTGTCAGGTCGATGCCGGACCACGTGCCGGTTTTCTGGTCAAGTTTCTTTGTCAAATTCAATGGAGAGCAATCGTTTCTTCTTGGAGTCGTTGGACCAAGCCGATCCCTTCGCTCCGTCTCCACGGTGTACGTCCTCTCTCTTTCTCTCTGGCGCGTTCCCTCCTTTAGCTGCCACTCTGTCGTCAGCTCGACCACCGGACCACCATCATCCCGCTTCAGGTGGAGTGTCCTGACCTTTTTGTGTTTCCTTTGTTGTCCCCCCCCCCCCCCCGCAGCTCCGATCAGTGCGGTTGGCCACGTACGATGTCAAAGGGCGCCACGGTGGATAGGAGATGTTAACTACCTCGCCTGGTATGCAGGAGGTCGTGGGTTAGATTCCGACCCTGACGCCTGCTGCTATAGATTTGGAGTTTGCGGTGTCTCTCGATCATCATCATAGTGGCTAGATGTTACCTACCTCGCCTGGTATGCAGGAGGTCGTTCGTGGGTTCCATCCCGACCCTCACGCCTATTGTATATTTGGAGTTTGCGGTGTCTCTCTCTCTCCAGGTGGTCACGTGGGATTTTCTCCGGGTCCTCCCGGTTTCCCCCCGGTTCCCCCCCCTCTACATTTAGAATATTTGGCTCCTATACATTTGCACATAAGCGACTTCATTGAGCTATCACTTGTGCTAGGCAGGTCGCATAGCTCAGTGGGGCCTGACCTGGTAAAATAAAAAAGAACATTGTTTAGTTTAACCGGTGCAGGTGGCGCCGTGAGGTGTGGGCACACCGAGAAGAAGCCGCTCAGGGCACCCAAGCAACTCGAGTCTGGCCCGCGTTCACCGCCACCAATCCAGACGTCCGCCACTGTTTAGTAAGGCCCGCATCAATGCTCTCGTTACGAGCCACGGCCTTTCTCAAAGACGTCGGCGAACCACGCATGGCCCTTCCCCCCCCCCCCCCCCCCCATTTATCTCTGTCCGTGATGTTCCTTGGATTATAAACTCCTGCCCGGTTGCATCCGCTTGTTCAAATCGTTTACGCACCGTCTTCCTCGGCTTCTCATACCTATGTTCCCGAGTCAAAAACTTTACATTGAGATCAATTGTCAGATCAACATTCAAACGCTAATAAACGTATCAAGCCGATTAACATTTCAACAACAAATTCAATTCTCAACTCGATCTTGCCTGCATCTCTTTTCCCTCATCTCACCGCGACTTTATTTGTGTCTCCTATCTCATTACACACCATGTGTGTATCTCACTACACACCACGTGTCTATCTCACTACACACCATGCGTCTATCTCACTACACACCATGCGTCCATCTCACTACACACCATGTGTGTATCTCACTACACACCACGTGTCTATCTCACTACACACCATGCGTCCATCTCACTACACACCATGTGTCTATCTCACTACACACCATGTGTCTATCTCACTACACACCATGTGTCTATCTCACTACACACCATGCGTCTATCTCACTACACACCATGTGTCTATCTCACTACACACCATGTGTGTATCTCACTACACACCATGTGTCTATCTCACTACACACCATGCGTCCATCTCACTACACACATGTGTCTATCTCACTACACACCATGTGTGTATCTCACTACACACCACGTGTCTATCTCACTCCACACCATGTGTCTATCTCACTACACACCATGCGTCCATCTCACTACACACCATGTGTCTATCTCACTACACACCATGTATCTATCTCACTACACACCATGTGTGCATCCCATCGAAATCTCTTCTGTTATCTCCCTAGGATCCTGTAAACTGAAAGGGGGGGGGTCATTCATTTATATTCTGTTTAGTCCCCCCCCCCCCCCCCCCCCATTGGGCCAGCACCACCACTGACACAATGCCATAAATATTACAAACTTCCACGTGTCCACGGATCATAGCAATCACACCAATGCTCTTCATCTGTCCAGAAGTGTCACGCGGCTTCTCAGGATTACATTTTCCTGTAAGGTTCCTCGCCTGCATTTGGGATGTTTGACCGGTCCCACGTGAATGTGTTTGGCGTCGGGTTTTCATTACCTAAATGCATCAATTACACGTGTACAATTGTACACTTATTTAGCTAAGTGGCCGCGCATTGACACGCAAATCGCTTTTGTAATGCGACCCGGGGAGCGAGCGCAATTTTTTAAGATGTGCAAGGGAAAAGCGAAGGGAATAACATCACTCTTTCATGTCTCCCCGAAAGGAGGGGGGGGGGGGGGAACGGTGGCGCAGCGCTTAGCGCACTGCGGCTGTTGACCCGGCTCACCCGAGTTCGAGTCAAGGTCGCAGCGGACGCCAGTGGCGTGAGACATCTGAACTGGTTGTGAGTCCTCCCTTCATCAACACGCACTGGGGACCAGCGCGGTGAAGGATGCCCACAGAACCTCCACGCTGCGTGGATTTTTTTTCATCCAGCAGTGGATTGACAAAGAGTCGTTATGATTATTTCCAAAAATGTCTCACGGAGTCTCAGGGCTGCTTTTAGCAGAGTCATGAATTGGGATATTTGACCATCATCGCTCATAGGAGGAAACCACGGAACCCATGAAAGCCCACTCGGGTTGGCAGTGTCGCATACTCGATGGCTCCATCTCTGCATGAGACACCAACCCTGCCCGTCAAAGCTCAGGAGTGCGAGCGTACAACATCACCACTCTCACCACCACCACCACTCCCACCACCACCACCACTCCCACTACCACCACTCCCACCACCACCACCACCACTCCCACCACCACCATCACCACTCCCACCACCACCATCACCACTCCCACCACCACCACTCCCACCACCACCAGGACCACCACCACTCCCACCACCACCACCACTCCCACCACCACGCCAACCACCACCACGACCACCACCACCACCACTACCATCACCACTCCCACCACCACCACGACCATCAACACTCCCATCACCACCACCACGGCCACCACCATCATTCTCATCACCACCATTACGCACCACTGCCACCACCAGCACGAGATTTCTCGCTATCGAGAGCAGCAGCAGCAGCTCAGAGGCGTGTTCCATCATCCCCTTTCATCGTTCCGTCACCGCGCGCTCCTAACGAGGCGCTCCCGTAACGAGCGCAGCGCGTCCCGCGAGGCGACCGCTCCGTTCCGCGCCGCGGTTCCTAACGGCCACCGGAGGTCATCGATCCGCGCGAATCGGGTCCCCGTCAAGAGCGGCCTCGCTCGATCGCCTCGCCGAACGCAACAGCGGCTATCGGACTGAGCATTCATTATATATGTGTGTGTATGACGTGGGGAAATAATTATCGAACCGTGCCACCGCCGCGCTCGTGAGGGCTGAACGCGACGGCTGCTGCCACATGCTCGGGTCTCGTGGAGCCCGCTCGAGCGATGAGCCCGCGACGAAAGAGTGCGGGTGGCAAAAAGAGCACTCGGCTCTTGACAGCCAGGGGCGAAGTAACAACATATCTTGTACAGCCACGTAAAGCTATATATGTAAAGGTGTACATGTAAAGCTATATATGTAAAGGTGTACATGTACGCGGTTAGCACATTTCATTATCCACAAGGACTTCAGCAGCCATTGGTTCACAACGCAAGCAAAGCTTTGGGCCGATTTCAACATCGAACCGATGCTGGTGAAACTGCGAGATGTTTAGAGGTGAAAGACGCGCTCCTCTTGCTGGGCATGCTCCCCCGGTGGCTCCGATGCGGGCCCACCGTCTTGACATCCCCCATCAATGAGCGGCGCACCCCGCAATGTAAGCGGCACGCCGGTTGCTGCCGTGCCACGTGGTTTGTGTTGTTGTTGCTGCTGCTGCTGTTGTTGTTGTGGTGGTGGTGGTCCGTAATCCGCATGCCGCTCCGCATCACCGACACGGACGTTTCCGTTCCGCGCGCTGGTGCCAACTTTTATTTCGCAGGAAATTGAACGCACCACGGGGGGATGTGGAGCGAAACGTCGGAGGACGCGTCGTGCCGAACGTCGCACGGCAATGACCCCCCGCCCCACCCCCCCCCCCCCCAAAAACAACAACAGCAAAACAACAACAACGCGTCGGGCAGCTCTGCGCGGGGGTGAAAGAACCGACGACAAAGCCACGCCGCGCGCGCGCGCGTGTTGTTCTGTTTTAGAGCAGTGGGTGTTAACCTGGGGTGCGAGTCATGGGCAGATTTATTTAGGAGGCAAGACGTTACCCGCGGCTCGAAAAAAATAATTATGCACGGGCACGGTAAGTACAACTACTTTGTTTGATCAAACCTATTGTATGTATGAGATGCACGAATCGGCCCCGCCTGTGACGCACACACACAGGTGATAAACACGTACTGCAGTTGGGCTTTAGCGACCAATATTATCCGTAGTAACATTATTTTAAAAAAATTGGGGTGGTTAGATGGCGATTCTGGCAAATTGCCCTGAAGCTGGTTGTTGTTTCTAGATTTGAAGTTTTCGTGACTGCAAGGATCCATACTCTTGGGTTCTTTCGGTAAAGTCATGTCGATGATTTAATTTAGTTATTTTGTATTTTTATTTTCACCTGGTTGCTGTTGTTGATGTAATCACCAGCGTGACGTCACAGTGCTCAAATTGTCAACGTCGTTGTGGGTTTACTCACCAGCACACCGGCGGTGTGCCGAAAAGTAGCGACTCATCGACACGTTTTGTTTAACGTGACAAACCTCACCGATCCGGCTGTGTCGGGGTGGTGTGTGGGTTAACGACACATTCATCTTTACGCAATCTAACAAACAAAAAACCTTTATTAGAGACATGATGAATATTAGAGAGAGATATTATGAACATTAGAGAGAGATTATGAATTTGAGAGAGATTATGAATAATAGAGATAGATAGATATGATGAATATTAGACATTCATTGGCGTGAGGGCCCAGCGGCGTTCGTCTACGTCCGTCTCGCGGCGTTGGCCTCGGCCCTCAAGGTCAGCGGCGTCCCCCGCACGCTCCTCACATGTCACGTGGGACGGGGTGGGGGGGGGGGGCATCGCTCATCTCGTCCTGCATCTGCGAGTCCGTGGTGGGGATATCGACATCACGACGGCGGGTGCCACTCTCAGCGAGAAGTCGCCCCATGCGTGTGGCTTGGATGTTAACGACCCCAGCCAGTGTCTCGGGCCCACGTGTCAGAGGCAATGTTGCTTCCACCGTCTCGATGGATTCACTTAATCGCCGGGTTGAAAGCGGGATAAAGACCGACTTGACCTTACATCAACAACAACAGTCGCCACTCGCCACTAAGTGGCGGTAACTTCACCACGGCGCCCGTGCCAGGTCCACGAACAGCGCGGAAGGCTCCCTGCTGGCAAGGCAGCGTCCTTCACGAGCCTCCTCCACAGATGTCGATCTTGACACCGCCGGTATCATCTAGCAGTGGATATTTTTTAAGCGCTGTGTACTATTATAGAAGCGTTAAGAGGCCGAGCTGGCACCTTGACCGGGAACGGAACTCGCAAACCTTCTGATGGCGACTTGAACACTTTGCTCGTGAGTTAGGCCCACAAGCTGTCACGATGACGTCGGGCCATTGTGACGTCATGCCGGCGACGAGCTCACAGAAACACCGCACGCGCGGCACGAGGAAGGCACGTGGTGGTGCCATCGACGTCTCGCGACGACGACGACCCCCCGCCCGCTCGTCCGCCGCAAATGCGTGGGAGGCGAGGACGATCAGAGGTGAGGCGATGGGCAAAGAAAAACCACCCGGCTTGCATGATCATCGCTCACGCGGCTGGCTACGGATGTAAAACAACAGAGGGTGCGCGGTGGGGGAGGGGGGGGAGCGAAAATACAACAACACAAAAACACGCGACGGAATGAATGAGGATTGCAGAAGTTGTCGCCCCTCGTGTCGAACGCGTGCGGTGGGAGGGCAGCGTGCGAGACTGCGTGGCTGCGTGTGTGTGGAGGGCGGTTCGGAGCGCAGTTTGTTTATTCAGTTCCCCGGTGAGCTGCCTCGAACCACCCATCCATCCAATACCCCCCCCCCACCCCTGCAGTTGTTTTACAAAACAATGGGAACGTTTGAACAAATTAATAAAAGCGAAGGAAAAGCGCACGCTGCAGCCGTTTGTGCCTTTTGTCATTTATTTCAATTCGGTCGCATTCTCCAGCGCACTTCACCGACTTGCCGCCGTCACAACGATTCCTCCACGGTACAGTGCGCAACAGTCCGGCTCGAAACAAGGTCTTTCATTGCGAATCTTTCTTTCTTTTATATCAAATAAATAACGAATAGAACCGCGCGCGCGCGCACGCAACTGGCGAGCCACGTTCGTGTCATCTCGAACCAACTTCGTCACGGGCAGCCCCGATTCACGCTTCTGTGACGAAGCGGCGGAGGGAAAGGTTTAACGCCATCGTCACCACCACCACCACCACCACCACATCGGCGAAGCTGCGCCGCTTACTGCTGTTGGTGGCGGGAGGACCCGTCCAGGGCACGCGCTTTGGGCCACCAATAGGACGAGAATGAACGGCACGCCAACCATGCGTAAACTGGGTCACGTGCGCGTGTGTGTACCACACTTTTAGTTGGAGCGGCGGTAAGGTGCACCGTGGTTATAGCGCGCTGCGCTAAGGGTCCGCGCGACCCGAGTTCCAATTCCCATCCACGGCCAAAACCGGTGATGGACATCTTGAACGGTCCTGGTCTCTCTCCGGGGGTCAACTCACCCTCACGGGAGTACCTGCTGCGATGTGCATGCGTCGCAACTGGGAAGACAAATGTGGCCGGGCGTGGTTCTGGCTTTTTGCGAGTGCTATGCTGCAGGCTTCCTGCTGGAGGACTGGCTTCCAGACAGCCCATCCCCCCATCCCTCTCGAACGCACTCTTCCTATACTCCGTCACACCGGTTGGGCGTCTTGGAGAAGACATGATTGCGAGTACCCACACTTCACCCCACCACACACGCCCCTGTAGTGTTACCCATTTACACGGCTGGGTGGACAGCAGTGAGCCTGGGGTTGGAGGGGATGAAGTCCGTTACTTCAAATGCCAGGCCGGATGATAGAACCGGTGCCCTCCGGAGTCCAGTGTGCTCACTCACTCACCACCACCACCATCACCACCGTAATCACCATTCCCATCCCGGCAGCAGAATCTTCGACAGCACTGCAAGTGGCCAGCAATGCGTGAGGGTGAGCGGGTGGGGGCGAGCGGGTGGGGGCGAGCGGGTGGGGGTGAGCGGGTGGGGGTGAGCGTGTGGGGTAAGCGGGTGGGGGTAAGCGGGTGAGCGGGTGGGGGCGAGCGGTGAGGTGGGGGGGGTAAGCGGGTGAGCGGGTGGGGGCGAGCGGGTGAAGGTGAGCGGGTGGGGGTAAGCGGGTGAGCGGGTGGAGGTGAGCGGGTGGGGGCGAGCGGGTGAAGGTGAGTGGGTGGGGTGAGCGGGTGGGGGTAAGCGGGTGAAGGTGAGCGGGTGGGGGTGAGCGGGTGGGGGTGAGCGGGTGAAGGTGAGCGGGTGGGGGTGAGCAGGTGGGGGTGAGCGGGTGAAGGTGAGCAGGTGGGGGTGAGCGGGTGGGGGTGAGCGGGTGGGGGTGAGCGGGTGGGGGTGAGCGGGTGGGGGTGAGTGGTGAGGGCAAGCGGGTGGGGGTAAGCGGGTGAGCGGGTGGGGGCAAGCGGGTGAGCGGGTGAAGGTGAGCAGGTGGGGGTGAGCGGGTGGGGGTGAGCGTGTGGGGGTAAGCGGGTGAGCGGGTGAGGGTGAGCGGGTGAGGGTGAGCGTGTGGGGGTGAACGGGTGGGGGTAAGCGTGTGGGGGTAAGCGGGTGAGCGGGTGAGGGTGAGCGTGTGGGGGTGAGCAGGTGGAGGTGAGCGGGTGAGCACAATGTACTTGACTGTACGTCTGTATTGTGGGTTTACTGGGTATAAAACAACGTGTGTTTGTGCGTACAACACCATAGCTGTAATGTATTTTACAATGTATACATTGTGTGTATGTGTGAATGTGCTTTTTGTGTGTGCCCGTGTAAGAATATATAATGTACAAACAAAAACGTAACCGAACATGTGCTGGCTATTATTTTTGTTTTTGTAAGAAAACCTAACGGAGGAGAGCAGCCTTATTCCAAACCCACTGCTCACTGGGCGATGCTTTAAAAAATAAAATATATATTTGTTCTATGTTTGGCGTTAAATTAAAACTTACGCTTTTTCCCAAACGCTATTTTTTTAGAAAGTGCTACAATTATTTTTTTTACCAAACGGCCACTTTTAGGAAGAAGGAAAAAAAATCGACGCTCCCAGCCACTATGTACAAAAAGTAGCACAGGTATCATTGGCCCAGTAGTTTTCACGATGAGAGCACTGACAACAATAACAAGCTTTAAATCGAAACAATAACAACGCCACGTGTGAAACAGGGCCCTCTTTTTGAATGGGAAGAGATCTCAAAAATCAACCTCGTATTAATCAATGGGGGGTTTCCACAACCAAGGTACTTTTTTTGTTTTACAAGAACCACAACGGCAACAGACAAAGATCCCCCATATAGCTTTAACAAACTGTAGGGGCAAGTGCTGTTAGCGAGCACCTATGAACCGACACACACACACGTTCGCTGGCCAGGTATCTGCCCGCATGTGGAATTTGTTGCAAGGCTGTGAGATTGGCCCTGCTCTTTGAAGGGGCACAAACGCAGTTAAAACCCCACCGCTTGTTCAAGACAACGCTGTCGGTTGGGTAGTCCCTGGTCTGGTTGGAGGGTTACGTGGTCTGGTTGGGGAGCCGCTGTGGTAGTCTCCGAGCGCTGGCCAGCACATTGCTCCCAGCAACACTCGAGATGACGACCGACAGGGCCCCACTTAGCTTGGCGTGGTGGCCGCTGGGCTGCCCGGGGATGCAGATGCCACTAAGGGTGGGGGCGCAAGTGGGTGGTGGTGGTGGTTGTGGTGGGGTCAAGACGAGGGTGAGGGGGGGGGGGCAGGAGACGCAGCTTCGGCGGTAACAGCTCAATTCACGCGACCTTGGTACCGCTGCACATCTCTCGGGCGGAGCGGCGAGGGAGCGAGGCACGGCCGTGTGGGGCGAGGCCCCGGGGTTAAACCTCGACCCGCAGCTGCGCGTCATCAGAGTTCGTGAAATGCGACGCGCGCACCGGATTAAGCGCAGCTTTGGCAAACGTTCGCAGACGACGTTCGCAGCCGACAAGATCAAAGGAAGCCCCGTCACGGAGACGAGGGCCTGCAGGCTCCAGTTTGGCAAAAAACTAAAATTACTAAAACGAGCGGGCGGGCGGGCGGGTGGCAGCGCAGCGATAGGCCGCGGGCAATTTGGCGGACGGAGCCTCTCCCTCTCTCTGTCGTGAGCGTGGCTCTGACCTAGATGGGGAACGGAGCGATCTGTAACCGCGCAGGATTGCTAGTCCCACACGTCGGGCTGGCAGAGGCAACTTGAAGAGGCTCTCGTGTGTGTCTGCACACCGCCCCTTCATGGCGCGGGGGTGTTTTAATTAAGGGATTCAGATGTATGGTGATGACGCTTCATAAATAATAAATGTGAGCATGGGGGGAAGAGGGGGGGAAGCCACCAGCTAATGTATTCCTAGAAATGCCCGCGGGGAAACTTACTGAACCATGTCCTTAAAAATATTTTTTCAATTGGGATGAAATACTGGGAGTGGCACATAAAAAATAAATATATATAGTGTACTACTCTGTACGTGGCGGTTGTACTGACGTGCAGTTCTCCCGCGTGTTACCGGGTCGTGCCGAAACTTCGGACATCGTTCTTAAACAACGCGCGGTGCGACCTCAAAAACGGCCGCGCCGTTTCTCTTTCTCACCGTAATGATTCTCGTTGTAAACGATGACAATGTGATTTGCGATCATCCTTCTCCAAGATTCAAAATGTACTTTTTTTTTTAAACAAACAAAAACGTACATTTGTTAAAACTCTTAAAAGGTGTCCATATCTTCATCACGGACTTGCACCACTAGGTGGGGACACCCTTCGTGAAATTTAAATCATCCACAATCGTGTAAAAACTTGTCGAGTAAAAGGCGGAACTAAATTCTTCATCGACTCACTTAGTTACCGATGACCGTCCATGATAAAATACTTAATAGATTTCACAAGCTCGTCCAAAAAAAAAATATGAAAGTCTTATCGTCATGAATACGAGAACAATTTCAATCTTGCTGGCCTTCAGTCTCTTCAGTAACAATTACCGTCTAGCTTTGTCCTTGGGCTGCGAGAGAGCGAGAGCGAGAGAGCGAGCGAGCGAGAGAGCGAGCGAGAGAGAGCGAGACAGAGTGTTAGAGAGGAGCGAGCGAGCGAACGTTACCACAGAAGTGCATGCATAGCGTCGCATGTAATTGCACAGCGGCTGACTTTAATGAGCCAGGAAGGCACACGGCTTGCTTAATGACTCATCTAACTAAAAGGGCCCCCTCTCAGCACGCCATGTCATGATCACCCGAGTGCTCAGAGCTGTTTGCTTGGACACATTCCAGCTTCCTCGGTTGGGTTTGATAAAAAAAGAAAATCTTCCTCCGCGTTTGCGCAGCGCACGACCGCTGTAACCTCACGGCCGCGTGCGAGCGGTGAGCGGACGCTCTGGCGTGCTCCCACCCGGACACGCTGTGACGGCGGACCAATGCCACGGGCGGAAAAGGTCGGCGATTTTAAGGCTTCGACTTCAGAGTCACGTGACAACGATCACAGATGGAGGAATATCTAAAGGAGACTTAAACAAAAAAATTACAACCAACGAGATTCGTGGGAGGCCTTTGCCGAGGCCCGGTGCTCTCTCACACTCACTGGGTCTAACGGTAGCCGGAGTTTGTAGGGCACGGTGCCGTGCCGTGCGCGCCTCAACTCTGAGGGCCGCTCCGTGGAGCCTGGCACGGGGCGAGGGGGGCAGTGGGGGGGGGGGCTTGGGGTCATCAGTGACGCCGGGTCACCGCTGGGTCACCGCTGGGTCACCACTGGGTCACCACTGGGTCACCACTGGGTCACGTGCGTGCGACGGTGAGGAGGGACGACGGCGCGTGCCGAAGAGGGGGCGGCGTTTCCGTTTGCCCGCTTGGCGGGGCGGACGCGCCGCACTGCGGGCGTTCGTGTCCCTCTCCTCACAACTCAGAGCGGCGCACGACGCCGGCACTATTTGCAGTCCATGCCCCCCTCCCCTACCCCCGCCGGGGCCCTCGATAAGGACGATCCATAATGCTGCTTGCACACATCTGCGTGCGTGTTTCTCGACAACGATTCGCTGAGATCATTGGGACAATGATGAATTTGCTCACGGCCCGCCGAACGCGTGCGTTGTGCACATGACGGGCGAACGCGACGATACTGACGGAGGGATCTCGAGCGCTAGCCCACGCCGGCTGCCTCCGTGCGCTTCAAAACCGCAACCGGAAACCACACAAAAACGTAACGGGGTTTGACTCGGGACCGGGTCGGCCGTTGAAACGAGGTGCAACGAACGAAGCGGAAACTTTGGACGCGCCGTCGGGAGCGCGGCGATAGATAGCAGGCTCCTGCTACCGCGCACCAGCGCCCGGGCTCGCTAATTCGCGAGCGACGGCCGCCGCGGCAGCCACGAGCGATCGGAACCTGCGGCGGCGCCGCCCCCCCGACTACGGAATTAAATTTTAATTTGCTTAGTGAGCAACTCGCTGCATTTCCATCGAGCGTACGATCATTCTCGAGCAGACAGTCTATAAATTGCACAGATTACATTGCCGCTTAATTAAAAACAGCATTTCAATGGAATTGAATTAGCCGATAATCGCTTTAGCCTGCGCCGCGCTCGATCCAGTGACACGTGCTTGCCGCGCGCGCGGCGGTGCCTGCTTCTGCATTTTTCTCGACGCGACCGATGGGGACGCGTCCCCGACACGTCCCCTGGTCTGCGTACCGGCTGCGGCCGTCAAGGCCGGCGACGAGTCCACCCACGCGCGAGCGCTCGGGTCCCACGGGCCAGCTGCGGGTAAGAGCGCCGTGCGTCCCAGGCGAGCGCTTGCCACCCGCGCGAGACCGAGAACTTTTACTCCTCGACGAGGCCGGGGGCTGACCCGTGTCGGTCGGAACGATGCACGCCGTCGCTTGTCCAGACGCGAGCCATCTCGAGAGAGTCCTTGGTCCCCGGGGCGCGAGGAGTTGCGAGAGTTAAAGCGCCGCTCTCAGCTCACGTCGCCAAACTCCGCAGGGACCCGCGACGACCTTGCAAGTCCCACGGCCTGGAGCTGTGGTGAAGCGCGACGGACCGCCAGGGCGCTCCGCCACAGTGGAGCGGACGCACAGCGCGAGCGTCGGCCGGGGGGGAAGGGGAGGGGAACGCTCCACGAGAGACGCACGGTGACAACGTCGGTGGTATCGGTGATGGCGATAAAACAGAGAGTACGTGCAACTCCACGTAATCCGAGATCGGTGGTGGCAGCAGGCGTGCGAGACGGCAGCTGAGAGCCGTGGTTTTGCGGACGCGCCTCGGGGCAAGAGGGTCTGGCGCAGCACGGCGCAGCAATCAAGCATCCTTGCCAATCTTCCAAAGTCACTTTAAAAAAAATTACAAAATTAACAACGGGAGGAAAGAATCCTGTTCACGTTAAGTGCTTCTCATTGAGTTGCTTCCTTCCTGGTTTTTTTTTGGTTTTCTTTTTATGATCATTAATATCAACATTATTACTGGCTTGGGTAAATTGACACAATTTTGCTAGTGCACTGAACGTTACGGACAATAAGGTTTTCTTCGCCAGTGGCAGCAGTGGCTGGATAGGGGCGGGGGAACCAGTCAGACGGCCATCGGCGCTGTGCGGGCCTCTCTCCCGTATCCACCGCCGCCACCACGCGGCCACACCGCGCCCCGTCGAGCCGCAACGGTGCCGCGTCCGTGCGGCCCAACGCCGTCTAGTCCCCCACGTCGGTGTCACGGTCGCCGATGAGCCAGAGCAGGTGGAAGCTGAGCGCCAGCAGCCCCGTGCCCAGGAGGTCGCCCACGGCCGTGAGGTAGGGGATGGAGAAGTTGTCCGGGTCGAGGCCCCGCCGCCACATCCAGTGCACCATCCAGTCGGCCAGGTACAGCAGCAGCACCACCTGCGGGGGACGGCGGTGGCGCGCCAAACGCCACGCCGTTCCGTGGCCGTCATTTGAAGTTTGGGACGATGTCGCCCGCCGCCCCCGGCTCGCCGCCACAGCCGCGTGGGCGCCGGGGGAAGGCGGACGCACGCGTAACGGGTCGCGTTAAGCCGCCCAAATGTTAAAAGCAGAATTACGCGACCCCCACACCGTCACTCGTAAAAAAAATTTTGGGACCGAGCCGTGGGCGGACAACGCGGGCACCCGACAGAGGGCGAGGGCGGCGCCGTCGTGCACAGCGAGGCCTCGCGGGACGACGCCGAAGCGCAAGCTGCTCTCACGGTGGGGAGATGCTTTCGCCGCGCTGTCGACGTGCGGGCGAATGTGGGCGCGAGATTAAGGGACGCATTTACCGCGTGAAAAGGTCAGATTTGCGCACATCTGCCGAGAATGACATTTACACAGTGCACGAAGACTGCACTAATTTGTGCAGCCTTTGTCCGGGCTGATGTGTGACGGTCAGATCTGCAACATTGCACTGTTTATTTTATCTGAGCATGGAGATAAATACACAGCTAAAGGTGCCCCGTGTAGCCTACACAGTGCTGGTAGCGAGCACCTAACGAGGGAGTGGTGTGTTTAGCGCCACACTTAGCCGCCTTTGTCTCCCAAGTGATGATGTTTACACAGCACACCGGGCATTAATTTAAGGCTGAGTTGACCTAGAGGAGGCCCAGAATGGGTTCGGACATCTGCCACTGTTGTTTATCTTGAGTAGGAATCACACTCAAGTCACCAGGTTCGTAGCGCAGTACCGCTAACCACTACACTACCGCTCGCGGAGACAAACACGCACACGCACGCACGTCTGGAAGAGCGGAATCGGATTAACTGCGCTCGCGTGTGCGTGCACGCGGAGCCGCATTGATTTCCGCGGCGAGATCATGTCGGACCAGCACTGCGGAATTAAGGTATAAGTTAGACGGATTGTTTGCGCCGGTGCGCGAGAATGAGCGTGGCGGCGTCGACGATTCGCTTATCGTCAAGCAAGGTGTTGACCGGGAAAACTGGGAGGAGGAGGACTTGTCTGGGGTAAGGGCATTGGGAATAACAATAATATTACTACTAATACAAAATAAACCAGGCAGGCAAATGCCATCGCTTACTCGGCACTTTCAGAAGCCGCGCGCATGAGAAAAGCCTGCGCGCATAAGCTGACATCATTTAGTCTTATTTCTGTTGCGCTTATTTCTGTTTAGGTTATTCAGAAAAACAGATGTTGTGCGAGTGATGCTCTTTTTCTTTTCTCCGGGGTCTGTAAAATTTGTAAAGAAAAACAATTCCAAGGGTAACTTGAAAAAAAATTCCCTGTGTGATGAACGTTCACGAGTTGACTTGAAAGGGCAGACAGGGACACAGAAGAGAAATGTATTTAGCATGCCGGCTGTGCGGTCAGGTGGTGGTGATAGTGGGTGCAGTGGTTACCGCACCCTGCTATAGACCTGGCGACAAAGAACTCGAATCCCAACCCATTTCTTACGTCAGTTACGAGTGATATCTGAATTGTTAAACTTGTTCCTGGGCTCCAACCCCTCACCTCTTCACCATCCCACACTGACCAGCGTGGTGAAGCATGGTCAGACGACCCCAATGGCCGACAGTGTGGGGAGCGCCTTTAATCCAGTACCGAATTGACACTCGGCTATAAAACACAATTACAATAAATTATAATGTTGGTTGCGGCGTAGGAACACAAGTAGGGAAATATCTTCACCAGTGTTCATAATTTAAAAAAACCCGGCCTTAGAACCACAGAATATACACAATGTGCCAACATTTCAGACCAAGGTCCTGCTTCAGAAACGGAGAACATGTGTTTACAAGTGCACGCCAAGTGCGCTGATTGGACATGCCCGCAAGAAGCGCAAGCCATTGCGCGCATGCAGATGTTACAACAAACTGCACGCCCTTAGAAGTGCACACGCAAGACAAAGATCCCCCATGTAGCCTTAACAGACTGTTGGGGCAAGAGCTGTTAGCGAGCACCTATGAAGGCCAGCACGCCTTACCGCCTTTGTCTCCCCAGTGGTGTTTACACATCGCACCAGGTACTCATTTGTGGCTGAGTCGACCTAGAAGATGCCCAGGACCGGTTCAAATAATCGTCACTGGTGTTGGCCGTGAGCAGGAATCGAACTCGGGTCGCCGGGTTCAAAGCGCAGAGCGCTAACCACTACCGCACACACACGCACACACGCGCGCACAAGCACCGCGTACCCTTAAGAGTATTAAAACTACTTAGGCGTCATGCATAATTATTAGTTTTAACGACACTCGCTATAGCGTGTGGGGGAGTGTAGATGAGGGGGGGGGGGTGATAGCAGCTCCGTGCCCTGTGTGCTGCAATTTCACTTTTATTTTTTTCACAAGATCAAACGACGGCCAAGGGCACATCAACATTTCCTGAGCCCCTTTTTTCTTTTTAATTTGTTTTGAAATTACTCTCCAGAGGGCAGGTGCGCCCAGGCCGGAGAGAAGTTGATGGTGGGAGACAGATCACAGACAGAGAGACGCCTCGACGGGCGTACGGGAACGACAGTAATTGCGGATGCGTCGGGCCTCGCTCTCCGAGCGGATGAGTGTCACGGTGAGAAATTCTGGAAGCGAGGAAAAGGGAAAAAAAAATTATATAACTAAAACTAAACTACAAATGGATCGGAGCTTCGGGCGGATGGGCCGTTTGACGTTTCAATCAAGCTCCGGATAAAAGGGGGTCGTGGCGTTTCCCGACACCGTCAACGGCACCTGAAACACTGCGGTCGCTTACTTCCTTTTGCAACGTTCTGCAGCTGTTGGGAAGTCAATTGGTGTGACCTCAATGGACAAATCCGCCTCTCATAATTTCCCACGTCTGCCGAGGTCTTTTCCCTTGTTTACACGGTGAAGATGTTCTTCAAGGTCACTCTTATGCAGTCCCATCATCACCGTCATCATAACGCTTCGGAGGTCCTTCATCTTCACTTTCGTCATATATATTACATCCCCACCCTTGACGACGACCTTCGGGGTGCCACTCCAATACCTCTCACCAATCGCAAACTCCTCCACCTTCAATTACGCAAGACAGCTATAGAGATAGACGACCTTTATTTAAACCGGGTGAGAGGGCCGCCGAGACTAAAAGCCTCTTTTTCAAGGCAGAACCTTCGAGATTTAACCACTCGTGGTCCGTGTGAAAGAAAAAAAAATGCACACGGATCCATCGCTTGATTGATGTCCTCCATTAAACCAGGTGAGAGCCCATTGACTTTCATTATCTACTTTGTGGCGGAGACGTCGGCATCTGGGAGAACGGAGCCGGCGCGCATATCAACTTGTGGAACGACGGCGGCCCGGGGCTCTTCAATTCACGTCGATTCTCGCGCTCGCAAGTTGCACGCGTCGTCAAATCGCCGCGTGTCAGAATCGATTATTGCCAATGCGTACGAGAGTCGTAGCTTTCATCCCAAAAACAGATTGTAGTCGCGCTACAGGGGCAAGCAAATGCATATATCAATAACCCTATTACAGAATGTACGACTAACTATTTACCAGGTGAGGCCCACCGAGCTATTACAGCTGCTTTACAGAAGCGACCTGGCCACAAATGATAGCATGACGAAGTGGCTTATCACGCGGAAACATGTAGCAGCAGCCAAATACTCCGAACGTACACATCGATTCGAAATGTGCAGGAAAAAACCGAATCAAACCGCTCCTGTTATCCCACGGCGACCGACTCAATCGGTCTATGGGGCTCAACCGAATTAATTGGGGACAACTTTGCTTCGAGTCGATTTGACCTTTGTAGGATTCCGAGAGCCGCGATTCCGGCAGGCGAGTGTCAGATTCCCGCGAAACGATAACGTCACGGGGGTTGGGGGTGGGTGGGGGGCGGGGGGACCTTTATGGCAGCAGCTCTTTGCAGCAGACGGCACGATTTGTTAACCTCCCCGCAGAGATTCGCCGGAGCAGCTGCTGTGAGAACAGAGGGCCCCCCCGCTCTCCGCAACAAGCCGGCCCGGGCGGCGAACGCCCCCGACCGCGAGGCGAGTAATGGGATTCATTAATCCCACCGCGAACCCAGGGAGCGCCTCATCGAGATAGGGCCATCCACCTCGTGACAATGGGCGCGGCGCAACCGTTTCGGGGACCTTTCGCCGCGCATGATAAACTGGAGAGAGCGCCCCGTGAGAAGATACGCCGCCGCAAAGGCGAGCGCTGGCAGATTGCGGGGTTTGGAACTCGGCGCCACTGAAAAAGGCAATAGATAAAAAAAATGTAATGTCTACCTTTCTAGTTTTTTTGTCAAGTTTATCCCGATTGCGCTATCCTTTGTCACGTCACGAGATGAAGTATCCGTTCGGTTTCGCTCACAGAGCAGTGCGACGTTTCGAAGTTGAAGAATGGCACGCGGAAGTGGGTATCGCAGAGCTACCGCCAAGATCCCTCCACGTGACCTTTGGTCCACACACTAAGGTGCAGAAATGTCACGCCCTAACCGGCTACAGAGAGTAATGTTTCGTCGCATGCCAAACTGATTTTTGTTAACTCTCAGACTGGGAATTTTGCCAAATTAAGTGCTGAACCAAATCTAATGTGATGGTTTTTTTTTTTATGACGAGCAGTCACCAGTTCCCAAGATGAGAACATCCATCTGACTGCCGCTTGACAACCCGGTTTAATCACAGGCGACTGCCTGGTTTGGAACCCAGGACGTCATCAGTGCCAGCGCAGCGCTCCCACTTCTGAGCCACCCGGCCACCTCACCAAAGGCAACTCCTCCGCCGCGTCGCGCACTGCCGTTATATTTTCTCTGCTCCTTCTCCCGCCTCCCCTTCAACGAGCCCCTCTTGTGGCGTGTACTGAGCCGCCATTGTATACGCATGCTTTGAAATGCTCAACTGTATTGCATCGTGAATGCTTTCACACTGAGACGCACAAAGTATTAACGGCAACACTGACGCAGCAACAAGATAAACAATTCAGCTGTAAAGCACAGAGGACATGGTACCCAGGACCCAGTTCCGTCGGGGAGTAAGCTCCGCCTCGGGTTTTGCATTTGCAGGCATCACAAGCCGGTGATTGCAAGCAGATGCAATGTTTAATGCACTGCTGGGTGCTGCCTGGGCTGGGACCAGAACTGTTCCCACCGAAGGAAACTGCGTGGATTTCTCCGCCGGCAAAAACCCGAGGCGGAGCTCACTGGCCGACCCGAACTTGAGCCACGGCGCGCCACCGGCATCGACTCCCGTCCAGCGCATGTACTCACGCACACGTACTCACACACACGCGCACACGCACACACACGCACACACGCACACACATGCTCGCACTCGCACACACACATGCTCGCACTCGCACACACACATGCTCGCACACACGGACGCGCACACACGGACGCGCACACACGCACGCGCACACACGCACGCACACGCATGTACACACACACGCACAATCGCCCCACGCTCTGCGCACCTGCAGCAGCGCCGCCATCAGGTAGAAGACGATGAAGATGGCGGTGAGCGTTGTGTGTCCACCCTGCATGAAGTTGATGGTGTAGAGGAAGACGAGGTGGCCCGGCACTACGAGCAGGAAGAGAACGCGCGCCGACCGCGAGTTCACCACTGGGGGGGGGGGGGGTCATAGGAGGGGTCGTGAAAGGTCAGGGGTCACAGTAGGTCAGGGGTCGTCGCAAGGGCAATGCTGAATGCTGCCACCACTGCTGCCATTCGTGGTTCAAAACAGCTCAATGGCAATGACTGGAGCACAAAGTCAATCAATCATTCATTAAGTAATTCATGACACCGAGTTGAAAGGTTGCGGCGGCTTAGGCAGCCCTTCACCCAGCAGCAGACTGATCAAGGCCGATGATGATAATTATGACGACTTAAAATGTCTTTCAGGTGAAACGTGTGATAATCCATTGCACTGTTGCACGTTGTGAAATTGCGCTGGAATCCCATTAATCGTTTTCAAGCATCAATGACCGACTGAATGAATCTAAACAGCCTTCCCCCCCCCCCCCCCCCTTCAGCTTGCCGCTATATTCCTTGGCCGCGTGTCCTGGGCTGTGCGATGCGAGTTTGAAGTTTCGTCGATGACAACGGGAATATAAAAATGAGGGTCACGCGCGACATCACTGCGCCCAAGTAATGTCACCGCGACTCCCACCCCTGTGCGCTTCGACACGTCAATTCGGGGAAGTTATTAGAGCGCGATAAAGGAACCTGTCACTTTTCACATTCGCGTCCTTTTACTCATTGCACAGCCCGTGTGACACTCAGCCGAGAAAAGAAAAAAAACACCAACTTAAAAAAAGGGCAGGAAAAGTTTGTATACAGTAAACAAAACACAGACATCCCCAGTGTAGCCTTCAAGAACCGTTGGGCAAGTGCTGATAGTGAGCACCTATTAAGGGCCGGCATGGAATACTTGCGGCTGTGTGGCCAGCACCATGCCCAGCTGCCTTTGTTTCCCCCATTGACGATGTTTACACATTGCACCGCCGAGTGAAGGCCCAGGGCCGGTTTCAACAATCGCCACCCACGTTCGCCGTGGCTGGGAATTTCTCTCAAGCCGCTGTGTTCGTAGCGCAGTGCACTAAGCACGACAGGAAATTTTCTCACGGTACAAAGACAAAGATTCCCCCCCCCCGTAGAGCTGTGGGTGAGCAGCAATGAAGGCCGGCACGACACACGAAGGCGGTGGGTGGCCACCACCATTTTATCACGCCCGGTTCGGAGATCGCTCGCCAATGATGTTAAGACGCGGTCAGGAATTGAACTCGTGTGGCTGGGTTCGCCGCACACTGAGCGAACCACTACGGGAAAACTGCATCGCAGATGTTATCAATCAGATGTTGATTACCCAGCGATATCAGTTGTACTGGAATCAATGACACCCGATGTGAAATGATGGGATGCCAACGCAAGTACAACCTTATTTCACTGGACTTAATTTGTGAAGAGTTAATGTGTTTTTTATTTTGTTCCCGTAAAATCCTTTGCTTGCTGTTCAGCTCTCTGTTGCAACAGAAGCATTGAAACTTACAAGCGTTCTCACACCTGGCCCTGAATGGAACACACTTAACCGAATTGTTATTTTACAGCACGGTTAAAGTTGTAAATCGCGGGTGCCAAGAGCGTTAAAGTTGATATTCATCGGCGTCGACTCGCTCAAAATTGCACCCAGAGTGAGCACAATACGCATTTCAATATTTAATGTGGAAATAAAACAAAACAATTCCCGGCCCCACCACAAACGTACACGGTGATGGAAACACAAACCGTCCCACCATCTCGACGTGGAAATTATAATAATAATAATAAAAAAAAAATGTACACACGATGACACCAAAACTAAAAAAGAAATCAAGAGCAGTTAAGTCAAACTGCACGGGTTATCAATCGTGCGTGCCACTGCGCTCACAACCTGCAGGGATTTACAAGCGGGCGGGGCGAGTATTTCACTCGATTGATTATAAAGTGGTAAACGTTCGTCACGCGTTACAGTGAGCGCACCGGCCGTGCCGGCGCCAGCTAAGGGCCCGGGCGGTCAGAGGAACACAACAACCTCGTTCCTGTAAGGGAAGTCGGAATTCTGTAATTAACGTTCTCCTTCCGGGCCCACGGAAGACGCGATTGGCTGTTAAACGCCCTCTTTTTTTCATCACCATCATCATCGCGCACGCGCTTAAAAATCAATACACGTTGCGTACGCGTTCCTGCCCAAACAATGTAATAAATCCGCGGCACAATTAAGAGAACGGCGGAGCCAAGGAAAGCGTTTAATGTCTTTGTGGTGCCCGCACAGCAGACGCACGCTTATATATTGCACAAATCGCGGGGTCGCTATTTGTGTCCAACAGCGATGAATTATTACGCGAGAGTCGAACCTGTCATCGAGATTGCCATTTAACGGTTCCCCCGAGATGAAGGCGGAGGGAATTCTTGTGCGATGGACGTCACTTTGTAACCCAGAGGCACTCGTTTATAATATGCGGTCGCCGCTTGTTTTTCAAACACCTCCATTATAAAACGTGGGCCCACCATTTGGAATCAATTCCAGGCTGCGGGGAAACAGATTTAAGATGTTGCACGTGTTCTCATCTTAGCAGCTGGAGACCAATTACACATGCACAGAGACTACGTTTGCCTAAGGCGGCCCACAGGTAAATTGGCCTACCTTGCGGTGCGGTTGTGCACGCGAGATTACAAATGATCGCGTGACCTTTGAACCAATCAGCCTGGAATAAGAATACCAAGGCAAGGAAACCATTTATAAAAGGGTCCCCAGTTGTGTGTTGAGCTTCTTTCGCACCGTACGTAGCCAACCGTGCTCATCGGAGGTGCGAGGCTGTGCCCATCTCCCCCGTTTAAAGTGGTGCCAATTCTACACTCCTATGGCAGGGACGTGTCGATCCAAAAGACAACCCCACGATTGACTTCCCCACAAAGTGGTAGATATTTTATCGACCCTGGACGGATAATGGGCTGAGTCAACCCGCGATCAGGGCTTAAACTCGGAACCTTCCGATTACGAGCCACTCCCCTCACCGCTGAGGCACCCCGGATGATTCCTCTTTCGTGCGTCGTTGTTGTTGTTGACAAACGTGTTGAATATTTGCCATCTGTGCTTGTGCACCACTGCTAAGCCCTGCACCGCCACCGCACGTCTGAATGCGCACAAAGTGCCGTGTGCGATCGTACATATATCTAGCGCGTGTCAACGCCTACTGTATGAATTTTTTTACTGCTTTCGCATTCGATAACGGCAATTTATGATGCAATGGATTTTCTGACGGAGCCTTTTTCCCCAACCGCCCCCCGTCCCAGTTCCCACCCCTCCAAGCCGCCCTCCCACCCCCCCAATTTTCACATTACAGGTTTTACATGGGGTGTGGCTGTGGGGGCGAGGAGCCTACAACGTGAACGCGCGGCATCCCTGACACCTCCTCTCGTCCACCACGCGCGCCACAATCTCCCGTAACGCCCCGGCGCCTCGTTCATCATCGTAATGAACAAACCTCTTCGGCCGCCAATCCTTTCAGCGTTAATATTGCAAAAGGCTCGTGGAAAATTCCACGCGCACAGAGGGCCGTCAATAATATTCCATCTCTCAAGCCTCGCCGCCCACCCCCCCCCTCCCCCCTTTGAGAAAGAGGAGAGAAAAAAAATGTAAATAAGAAAATCCCGCCATTGTGTTGTAAATTAGCGTTCAGCACAAACGCACGGCGACCCAATTGCTTTAACCCCGTTGTGTCTTCCGCTCCGTTCGTCGGCGCCGTTCGTTTCGTCCGCCCGGGAAGTCGCTGGATCCCGATGTCGCCCGCTCCCGATTCGGGCCGCGTCGGCCGCGGTGTAGGTGCGTCGGCGACGTGACGGACGGACGTGACGGAAGGGTGTGACGGTGGCCGTGCCCGTCTCGGACAGGCGGCGGTAGAGATCAAGAGGGCGTTGCGGCGACATCAGCGGCGTCGGCCGCAGCGCGCAGGCACAGTCACGACGCATCTCGGCGCTGCCAAAACCCAGTCGTCATCTTAAATAATGAGTCGCGAGCCAAACTCAACGGCCACCCACGGCCCACCAGTGACGACAGCTGCTCAACGTTTCCTGCACGGAATATATGCGGCCGTGTTCCCCCCAACAATCCCCCCCCCCCAACACCCACCCTCTGGGACAAATTTCCACATCAGCGGTGCATGTAAATTCCAATTTGTGTGTGGTCTAATGTGAGCTATGCGCTTTTCCGGCACTCCGATTTTAATTTAAAATTCACGGCTGGGCAAGTCAGATGCAAAGGTGCGTGTGCAGAGGCGCGTTTACCTTTTCTCCAATTCGTTTAGAACCGCCAGCAGCTCATTAATTAAGGCTTAGCTTTGGACTGGAGGTGATGCGTTTTTCATTTTCATGGCCCTGTTATTATTGCGCGCCTGACCGCAGCTTAGACACAGTACATCAGGCAAGGGGTTGTTCATTGTGTTTCAGCCCTCGCGTGCTTCAAGGTCCGCGAGTATAATAATAATAAAAATAGCGGCAACGAGAATCCGTCACGGGATCGGCTAAAATTGCAGACCTCTGGGTACAATTATTTTGTGACGGGGACGTTTGTAAGCGTGTTTTTTTTTTAGTGGTGTTGGGTAAGATTGCCGGTGTCTGTCAGTACGCTGAGGTGTCATTCCCCTGGTGTGAGTCGACTGATATGTCAGCTTGCTGGCGTGCCATCGGACTGGTGCGTCAGCCCGCTGGCGCGTCAGCCCGCCGGCGTGTCAGCTCACTGACGTGGGAGCTCACTGGTGTTGTCAGTTGACCAGTGTGTGGTGTGTGTGTGACCAATTGTGTGTGCATGCACAATTGCGTCGGCTCACTGGTTTTCTATTCCGCCGGTGTGTCAGCTCACTGCAACGTCAGCTCAGTGTCAGCCCACTACTGTGTGTCGTATGCACGTTGCACTTCTTTCGCACCGTACGTAGCCAACCGTGCTAAAGGGAGGCGCGGCGAGCGGAAGTGCGTTAGCTAACGCACAGCGCTGCGGAGCCGGCAACACAAGTTCGATTCCCGCTCACGGCCAATATCGGTGGCGAATATTGTAATCGGTCCTGGGCCTTCCCTAGGTCTACTCAACGTTAAATGAGTACCTGTTGCGGTGTGTAGACATCACCACTGGGCAGTCGGAGGTGGCCGGGCGTGCCACGCCGCACCCCTCGTGTGCCGTGCTTGCCTCCGTATACTCGCTCACGGCACTTGCCCCAACAGTCTGTTAAAGGCTATACGGGGGATCTTTGTCTGTGTGCTCACACCAGATTCCACCGCACGGCTCCCCAGGCTTCAGGAGCTGCCAGAGCCATCACTGGGAGCAATCTTGCGCCGCAAACGAGGCCAACGCCACAGCTTATCTGTCCATTTCGCGCCCGATCGATACCAACTGGCCCCCCATCACTCAGGGCCTCCCAGCCACGGGATGAGTGCTTTTTCTGTCATCATAGAAATCGTTATTAGTCAAAAGTAATAAAACATCTCACGGCTCCTTTGTCAATCCACTGCTGGATGCAGGCCATCCCCAGGCCATGTCGGTTGTGTAGATCGCCTGACCATACTTCACCATCCTGGCGATTCTGGGCTGGTAAAGGGTGGTGGGGAGGTGGGGGAGGGAGGGGGCACGGACGGATTTCCCTGCACTGTCCTCTTCTGACCACCACGCGGAGCCCGCTGTTGGCTACGGCAAGCACGATCGAGGCTTACCCACCCCTGCTGAGCTTCTCAGGTGTGTTCTGGGTTATGTCCTCAAATAATTTCTCGAATGCAAGAGAAGCCCTGGAAGCACGGGGGATCACTGGGGAGCACGGGGAAGTACGGGGGACACGGGGTCTCAGGGGACATGGGGGACACGGGGTCTCAGGGGACATGGGGGACTTGGGGGACTCGGGGGAGCACGGGGGACACGACTGAAGCGCAAGGCGGCAGGACACTCACAGAGGACACTGGCGACAGGCGGAGGCGGAGCAAGGGCCTCCACAGACCCCTCTGGTCCCCCACGTACCTCCGCTGCAGAATGTGCGGCAGGGCGTGGGGCACGTGGACTTGACCTCGTCCGGCAGGATACCCGGGAGGCTGCGCAGGTGCAGGTAGGTGGAGATGCGGCTCGCCTGCACGGCCACCAGGTTCCCGCCCACACCTGCCGGGTGCGGGACAGACAGACAGACAGACGGCGAGAGAGAGACGGGGCACTGAGCGGAGTCGACCGCCACCCTCTGCCGTGCGTGGACCAGAGAGGGTCACCGGAACGGAGCTCGGACGTAGCTCGGTGATATCAGCTTCCGTGGGCCATTCTCCGACATGAAGGGTTGCGTATCGGAGGTGGAGGCTCCGCGTCGTGCCGCCGTGACGCTGCCCATGGGGCAATCCGGTTCAAGTCGGTAGGACAAAAAAAACCAGTCCCGCTCAGCCCCAAGAGAGAAGGCAGGCCGGTCCCTGCTCACCGTTGATGACGGGCGTGAACACGGCCATCCCCGCGAAGTTGGGGTCAGACACGGTGCGGTCGAGGATCAGGCCCCCGATGCTGTGGGCCGGACATTCGGGGAGGGGTGGGAAAAGTGGTGAGCGACGCGGCAATTGGCGGTTGGAACTCGCCCGGCCGTGCGACACGCCGACAGCACGGGTTGAGCCGATTCGAAGGTGATTTCACCGACGCTTCTACACTGGCAAGACGTCTTGGCGCGAGTACCCACACTTTACCCCACCGCACGCGGCCTGCTCATCGACAGGCTGCGGCGCAGGCGTTGACGTTGACTATCCTATTAACTGCCGCCCCCGGGAGGCGAACGAATTCCGATTAGGAATTTTTTAACATTTAATTGGTTCTCCGGCCGTGATTGAGCGGCAGAGTGAGTCCATATGTTCCTTTCCATCGCAGATGGGGCCGGAGCTGGGTTTTGGGTGGGAAGGGCATTCTGGAAAGTGGCAGTTTCGCCGTGGCGTTGGCAAACGACTCATTTGCGAATTGCCAGCTGAAAGCGTTGCGCGCGCGTGTGAAGTTCACCCCGTGACCACGCCAACGCGGCACAACAGACGCGGGCGCTCGGTATCCGCGTTAACGATGGAGATCAATTCAAGAGAACGAAGTGCAATGCACGTTGCCGCTCCCAATTATTTTTTGCAAAAAGCAATTATTTTTGTTAAAAGCCCTATGGAAAGTAAAACAGATCAGACGGAAGTCACTTTTAAAAAAAGGAGGCTCATCTCGAGCTGCACATCATAAGGAACAGCACACGTGGCACAGCTTTGAGATTAAATGCTGGGAAAAAGTGAGAGGGTTATGAACAAATCTACTTTGTAAAAATCAGCCAGACATTTTAAATTCAATTATGAAATCGCAGAAACGGTGACTTCCATCTCAAGCGAGCATTTGAGGCGGTGCTCATCTCCTGAGCGAGTTATGGCACTTCCACATTGTTATGGCAGGAGGCGTCTACCCAAAGGACAACAACGGTAGACTTCATCACAAAGTGGTCCTAATTTTATCAACCCTGGAGGGATTAATCAACCCCCAATCAGGGTTTGAACTCCCAACCTTCCCGTCGCGAGCCGCCCGCTCTACTGCCGAGCCAAAAAGTATTCGCACAAAGTTACGTAACTTAGCATGTTCCAAATACGGAATTGTTCCTCTTTGATGATCAATCCCTGCAATGGTTTGCTGTGATTTACACATTTGTTTGCACAGCGGTGGCCAGAACACAACTGCCGATAATCGGATAAATCCATCACGCGTCACTTATTTCAGCTTGACACTTATTCGCTTGTGCCCTGAATGCATTTATGACAAAACGTGAAGGCCGTTGACATTTTTATCGTTGTTTGCGGTCGAAAATGGTAGCTCAACGAAGTTGGCTTGTCACATAGAAATTTACAGCAGCCAAATACTCTTAAATGTGGAGGCAAAAACCAGAGGACCCAGGGAAGAATCCACGCGACCATGGGGAGAGACACCGCAACTACAAATACACAGGCGTCAGGGTAGGGATCTTACCCACGACCTCTTGTATGCTAGGCGAGGTAGTTAACTCTAGATTTGAAGCTTTCGTGACTGCAATGATTCATATTCTTAGGTTGGGCGAGAGATGTCACGTAGGTAAAAACATAAAAAAGTAAAATAAAATAAAAATCACGACGTTTCGGAGGCAACACAAGCTTCCGTCTTCAGGTGGTACCGTCACAGCCACGACAGCTGTATCAAGTAAATGAGAGATTGCAGGAGCTACCACTCCGTTTATATAATGGTTGGAGAAGATGGAAGAGGTAGTTAACATCTCGCCACTGCGGGATGTTAACTACTAAAACGCAAACATCTCCGCCCGCAAGACAAGCTGTGGGAAAACGAGCTAGGCAGTAATGGTAATGATAAAATCATAATTGTCATAATTAATGAATGCCGTCTACACCCCAGGCCAACAAGAAACCCGGGCCGACACGGGCGCCGCCCAAGCGGCTGTCATGTGCAACAAAAATTGGCAGCGGCCGATTAAAACCGCTGATCAATCCCGACGCTTGAAAGCTTTTAAAGCGCCGACCCGTTAGGTTGCGCGTGCGGGGGAGAATTCACGAGGCCGGTGTTCCCGTTGACGCGTTTGGTAAGATTTCGCATCATGAGCAGAGAAAGATTTTTTTTTATATATATCTTTGTAAACCAAAATATATTTTGCCCAAAAACGTTTGGTTCTCACGTAGCGGTGTCAACGTTAAACTGCATCCACGGTATCCGTTTTCTTCTCGTTTTAGCCGATTAATTGTGGAAAGTGTGGTGGCCAGCGATGCAATTATTAGGCACATTTACCGTAGCTTCTGTTTTTAATATATATAGGCGCTGGATCGGTGGATGTACCTAATTTTTATTGCATGTTAATGTGAAACAGGGCATAGACAGATGTGCCAGCGGCAGGCACAGCGCAGATATGGGTTATAGACTAAAGCTTCAATCCGAATTGGGTAAGATATGCTCCCACGCCTGAATACGGCGATGGGGAGGTGCTCACTCTATTAAGCTGCTTCGCAGCAGCAATCCCCGAAGAAATCAAACCCACACGCTAACGGCCACGACGCAAAAGAATAAAAAAAAACAGCAAGAAGAACAACCGAAAACGAAAATAAGAAAAAACCAAACCGACCTTCCTGCACAGTATTGCTGATCACGGTCCCGATAAAAAAAAATATATATTGATTGGTTTCTAAGCGTGATGGAACGAAAATGAACTTAGAACATAAAGCTCGGCGCAAAATCTATAACTCGTGGTGCCAGAGCAGATTAGAGAGCGCCGCGCGCTCCCACAGGCCGGATCCCCCGCACGCGCCCGTGCACCGTGGCAGCGATGGCTTCACCTCCGAGTTCACCCTCGCGGCGATTCCCCGACCGCGGCCTCCGGATCAGCGAGCCGGCTCGGCACCAGAGAAGTTTGAGAAACTCTGGCACCGAGCGCCGGGGCTGCCGAGCTGCCGCGTGCCGCGAGGTCGGAGGGATCGCGAACGGCAAGAAGCGCGGTTGGGAACCCGTGACACCGGTGCTGTCATCGTGCCCGGCACGTCGCCGTTGGGCGCAAGGCCGCGGGAACGGGGCGGGCGAGGAGACGCGTGTGGGCGCGTTCGCCGAGCGTCGTCGCCCCCGACGCCTCGTTTAAAACGAAGCTCCGTGGCGTTACACACGCAGTACGGCGACGTCACGTGACCCGCAAGGCATAATGGGGACACCGATCCTGCGGTCGCGCAATCGCGAATTTTGGCCACCCAGACGTCGCCTTGCGCGCGCTCTATCGTTACCGCCCACGCTTGTTTCCAGCCTGCTACGCCCCCTTTTCCGTCCGACGGGTTTCCCAGAGTTTACGGAGAGCGTTACGCGGTCGGTGGCCGTGGTGGGATGGACGCGGGCGGCGGCAGCAGCAGTGGCCGCCGGCGCGTGGTCGCACCTGCTGATGGTCATGGCGATGATGACGGGCTCCCAGCCCGAGTAGAGGACCTCGCGCGTCTGCGGGCTCCTGCGTGCCACCATCACCCACAGCGGCGTGAGCACCACGAAGAGGCCGCACACGAGTGGCGACACGAACTTGAACACTTCTGCGGCACGGAGATACGCGAGACACACACGGAACACGCGCGCGTGCGAGGTCAGGTCGGTTCGGGAACTCCCTGGGTAAGCGGCATTGTGGGGGCACCATCGTTACCGCAAGGACCAGCCGCGGTTCAAGGAGAAGACCCCTCTCCGTCACGGCCATCTGAGCGCAACTCACGATGGGCAATAAATTCTGGCTTGTTTTAATTTGTTTGGAAACATATCCTCGTGCGTTATTTTAGTTTTCATTGATGTTGTCTGCCAGCCGAGTCGCCCTTGCACAAGAGCTTCTTAGCTCCTAATGTTCAGTCCTTTGCGTCTATCCGCTGCTGGATAGAGGCCGCCCTATGCTGCGTCACTCATGGGCATTGATTCACCATACTTCACCGCACTGGTCGGCACGGGTTGGCGACAAAGGGGGTTTGTGGCTCCAGGATCCGGGTTCGGATAACGCTCGCCACCGACGTTCGCCGTAGACGGCAGTTAAACTCGGGTGGCCGGGCTCACAGCGCGGTGCACGCAAGCCGCTGCGCCCCGGCCCCAGTGCCGGATTAAGCTAGTGCGGGGCCTGTAGCATATCTAGCTACTTTAGCTCCTAGGATAATCTGGCACTGCCCAGCCCTCTCCCTGCCAAGTTGTTTTTCGGATGAAATCCCTCTGGATGTTTCTCAGAACTCACTCGCGAAAAGAGACTCCAGTCTTAATGGGTTTCTCGTCTGGTTGTGAATAAGGCTTATAAATGCAGGAACAAGTTTTTTTTTCCCAAAATCCTTGAGGATTTTTGCGTGTGGGAGAGGACGAGAGTAGCAGGGGAAAACCCAAGAATGTGATGTCATCACGTTCAAAAGTATGCACGGAGGCCATCAACTTAGTTAAGTGAAATAAGCATGTTTGATTGTATTTTTTGCAAATATCAGCTGTGCTTGATTGTGCAAGTTTACACGAGGGGTGGGCTGGTGCGGTGACGAATAACAGCGGCGAATATATTCGAACCGGTCCTGGGCCTCCCCTAGGTTGACTCGGTGCAGTGTGTAAAGGTCAGCACTGTGCGTGGTGTTCTCCACGCAATGTCTTGTGCGCCGCGCCGGCCTTCACAGGCCCTCGCTAACATCTCTCGCCCAACAGTCTATGTGGCTATAACAAGGAGGCCCTCTGTGTTTATTTGCGCGAATAATACGATCGCAAAAAATGTATTTGTTGGCAAGGGCAAAGAGTCGATTATACTGTGGGTTAAATAAACAATCGCAGCAATTTTCAGACTCCGTAAAAACACATGACCCAACCAGGCACAAAAAATCGCAAAGTCTAGACACCCATCCAGGCCAATATCAGACCACACATCAAAGCGTAACACTGTCTGAAGTGCTCGGGGCAATTTGCTTACTTAACAAGATCGGCACGGCTCCACTTTCCCAGCAGTTACCCGATGCCCTCTCACGACCGATCCTCCACCCCGGCAGGAATCGAAGGAAGGCCCGAAAATTCCCACTCTGTTACTGAACCGACCGCTTGCACATTACGCAAGAAAAATGAGCTGCCCCCACGCCCCCACACCCCCCATGTGCACATTCCTTTTTTTTTTGAAAGCCCGACAACCAATTTGATGCCTATCATTTTTTTTTACTCGCAAATCTGTATTATGCAGTGTGTGTTTAACCGTTCGTCAAGGCTGCTGCTTGATGATTCTAACATGGGATTTTTTTTTTGTGATGCTCGTAAACTGCTTTTGCGAGGTCACAGCCACGGGCTTGGTGAGGCCACAGGAAGGAAACGAATCTGCTGAAGCGTCTAGGGGTTTTTTTTTTCTTCTTTTTTAACCCTCCTGAAACCGCCCACACTCACCCGACCCGGCACCTGGGACCTCGATGAGCAGAAAGAGCCTTTTGGTGGGATTTAATTCGGGCGAGCGAGCGGGAAGGCTTGTGGTCGCCTCATTTCTGCTGCGCAGCTTATGCCACTTACGTCTCATCCCCACACATAATTCGCTTTTGTAGGTGTGCGCACGCGCGCACCCACCCACGCACGTACACACACGTTGGCATCTACGTATGCACGTACAAATACACACGCACGCACATGCAGGCACAAAGACCTCCTTTATAGCCTTTCAATAACCGCTGCGGCAATTGCTTTTAGCCAACATGGCACACGTGGGTTTGGTTGACGACATCACTCCCAAGCCGCCTTTGTCTCCACAGGTACTCATTTAACGCTAAGTGGCCCTAGGGGAGGCCCAGGACCAGTTCGAACATCTGCCACTTTTACTGGCCGTGAGCAGGAATCGAACTCGGGTCACCGGGTTTGTGGTGCAGCGTGCCAACCGCGACACTACCACTCCCCACACGGATTCACATGCACCCACGCACAGACGGACGTACGGATGGACACACACATGTGGGCGCACATAGAAACACGCCGCCCCTCCCCCCCCCCGTAGAATCCCTCCTACGTCCCCGCGCTCCTCTCAAGAGTCCGACCGGACCGACGCCTGCTGGGGGCGGTAGAGGCGGCGGCATACGGCAACGATTGCGTTCGGCGCTGGTCGTCCCGCAGGGAGGGGGGAGAGCCCCTTTAGTTGGCCGGCTACCCCGGGGGCACGGCCATCGTGGCTCACGCAGCAACGCACCGAATGAGGCGAAAAGTTTTGGCAAAATGTTGCGTTTTTTTCACGCCTTTCACTCCCAAGGCGCAGCAACCTCGCCGTCGGTTGGCGACTCGCGATGGGAGCCGAGCTCCCGCCGTGGCCTGGAATGTTATTTTTTTAATGTACAGTAAATGTCACAAACATGTTTTTGTAAGCGTTTACTTTAATGGCTTCCTTATGTGGTTGGTGCAAAGGTTATGGACGTGGAAATTGGTTTGTGTTCTCAATTGAGTTTCTTTTTTTAATGCTAAACGCCACGCGCAACAATTTGTGGTTTCAAAGCGCTCCGTGGTGGAATTCTGACCGAGTGGCTTTGAGCACTACAAGGCTAAAGAATTCTGGGATTGGTGGAAACGTTGGAAATAAAAAAGATAAAAGTCTTTAAAATCCTCTTCCACACATATAGCTGAGTCAGCTCAAGTCTCCTGCAAATCTCTTCACTCGTGTGGCCACCCCCACTCTGAGTCTCTCCACTCTCCCCGCCCGCTGTGAAAACAGACGCTGCTCCTCCGTGCCGCAGCATCGAGGCCCTGATGGAGCAGCCTTCCTCTTCCCTCTCATCTCTCCGGACCCTTCCTTTCCCCCCATCCATCTCCTTTGATTCCCAATTCTCTTCGCTCTTCCCTCCCCCGTTCCCTTTCTCATTTTCCATGCATTACATCCTTGACTCGACATCGCTTCCCGTTTAAAGTGCTTAAGCAGCTGAATCTCTGTAAACTCAAACGCAAGAACCTAACCGTTTCTGCTTGCTTATACGAGTCGCATGTGGTATGTTTGCCTTGGACATACATTGCCGACGTGGACACACAAACAAAGCAAACCACATGGGTTTACTAAGCAATTGCCTCCGGTACGACGGCTGCGTGAACATCGTTCACCCTAATCAGCCGGTTTGAAAAAGGTAAAATATTGTCGAGGCCTACAGGTCACGACCCCGAAAGTGAAGGGGGGTCAGCGGAGGTTGCCGGGGAGATGGGACACGAGACATCGAAGGTGACGCGGCGGCCGGGGAATCGATATCCATAATTTGATGCGATATTGGAACGTCCAGACGGACGTCAACGCTGCACTGCGACGCTAATGCATCGCATCGTCCGGGCGGGGGCACTGATGCACGCTGACAGACGGAAATGACACAAACTGCTACGATGATGAAAACGTTAAAGTAAGAGGGCAGAAACTCGAACAAATAACGGTGCCCAAAATATCATCGCTATCACCAGCGGCGACAACCTGCACACCCCACAGTAGGATGAAGACCTCCCGATGTCGCCCCCACCCCCCACGGTCTTGTGATGCCAAGATGGTTGATATTTTCTCCATTTACGTTCGAGCCATTATTTTTCCCCGTCGCACAGCAATTGGGAGGTGAATTGTGACAGCCCTGCTTAAGATCCATACGCTAGGGGCAATTCCGAAGCTTACGGATCGGTGCCGTGGCAGGAATCAAACCGTGGCCTCTACATGCGAGCCGGCTCGGAGGCGAGCGTGTCACAAAACCCGGGGGGGGGGGGAGGTCCTTCCCCACAAAGGCAGCGGACGACCGCTGCCACAGGTGTTGCCTACTCCTGAAAGGGGGAACGTCGCCAAACGGAACATAAAGAGGTCGCTTGGCGCAACGAAATAAACCATCTAAGGCGGTCAAACGTGTAACTGGCCAATTCGGCACGTTTTTTAAGACGTCGTAAACCGATGCGGGACGCTTAACACACGCGTGGAGTCGCTCCCAAAAGCGCATCGTGCCCTCATCGCAAAAAGTCGCTCGATTTGCCTTTAGTCGCTTTAAGCAACAACAACAAAATTCGTCACGAGGGGGAAGTCGCTGCTGATCTAACGACACAATTCGCTGCGTTGACAAAGCCGCTGGCGTGCACACAGGCAGCAGGCAAAGCGGGCGGGGAGAGCTGCGGGCGGAGTGAGTGCGACCTCTCGTGGCGACACCGCGAGACGCACAACTCCCTCGGCCACGCCACTGCCATGATGCTCGCTGGGTCGTCCCTCTTGCTGTGCTGGCTGTGGGCTGTTGCAGCCCTATGCTGCTTGTGACGCGCGTTCTCTCTGCCAGAGGCCTATGACGTATCCACGCATGGACGTCGAACTTCTTTCGCACCGTACGTAGCCAACCGTGCTAATCGGAGGTGCGGAACACCATAAAAATATCCTAAATTGTCATTTTTTTATTCTTCATTTTCCTATCATGCTCCTTGGTCCTGGAATGAATTACAAACTATTTTTAAACTGGAGAAGAGGGTATCACTGTCCGATTTCAAAGCTCTGATAGATGAAAATGTCATTGACCGTTGTAATTGTTTTAAATGTTTTATATTGTTCTATTTCGAATTGTGTGTGTGGGTTTGTGTATCAGTGACAATTATCTGAACCGGTCCTGGAACTCCTCTAGGTCGACTCAGCCTCAAATGAGTACCTGGTGCGATGTATAAACATCGCCACTAGGGAGACAAAGGCGGTCGGGCGTGGTGCTGGCCACCCACCCCCTCGTGTGCCGTTCCGGCCTTCATAGGTGCTCGCTAACAGCACTTGCCCCATACAGTCTGTTAAGGCTATACTGGGGATCTTTGTCTTTGTATGTGCGTGTGTATGTGTGTGGTGATTTCTTTTTGCCGACTTCTTGCCAGGTCCCCCTCGCAAACGAGGTTTTTAATCTCGTTAAATAAAGGTGAAATGAAATCTTGTTGATTTTTCATGACGAGCCTCGTCCGTGCCGCGTACCTATATAGCCGTAGAGTTCCCTGCTGATGCCAGCGAGGAGTGACAGCGTGATGAGGTCGCCCAGGCTGGCTGCGATGGGCGTCGCCACGTTGTCGGGGTTGATCCCCACCTTCTTGGAGCCCACGATCACCCCCACCATGATGAGGCCTACGCGCAGTCGGAGCCGTCGACATCATCGCTATTATCACCACCAGTCGTCATCGATTATCATCATCATCAACACCAGTATCAACAATCATCATCCTCACAACCACTGTCATAATCATCTCCATCACCACTGTCTGAAGTTTTGAAATCTGGCGTTTCTCAGCAGCTTACAAAATATCCCAATCCGATATTCTGTCTAAATCAAAAGCATTTAGCATCTGTGAAGAAGTCCTAGGTGCAGCAGCATCAAATAACAACTTAACAAAAAAACCCTGACGACCTGGGTGAGTGAAACTATAGCGGACGGCTGGGTGAATGGGTGCGGCTGGGTGAGCGCGCCTTTCACTGGATTCCATCACAGCGCATTGGCCGGTCGGGACGGACCGAGCTGGGCTTGCGGGGCAGGCCCTGGATGGACGGAAGGTGCTACAGAGACAACAAATGGAGCCCGCTCGATTTCCGAGGTGACTGCCTGATGATGCTCAAAGCAGTTTGAGCACAAGGTCGCTTTGTTGATGTTAAATTAGAATCACAAAAAGTCTTCAACCACCGGTCAGGAGCAGCATCATTAGTCAGAAATTGATTAACACATAGCACGCGTAAGTAACATCTTTGTCAACGTAACAATCTAGTCCGGTGGTGGTGGTGGAGTTAATGACAAGAACCTTGGCATGAAACCACTGCCACGCGGCCTAACCCAAAAACATCCATCGGAAGGAGCGGGTTCCATCAGTTATCTCTCAGTTGATGGTCAACGTTCGAAGTGAGGACCGCGACCCTCAAAGGAATGGCACTGCCTCTGTGACCATCCCCCCCCGTCCCCTGTGATCCGTGGATGAAACAAATCACTCGAGACACGCCGGTGTACGGCAGCCAAGAGCAGTCCATGCGCACACTGTCGCAAGAGGTCACACGTTTGGGGCAACGCTCCTCCGCTGACTATGCGTGATGAAGGAGCTAGGTTAGCGCAGGATGGTGGGCCTGGGAGAGACGCGGGGGAGACGCGGGGCAGACGCGGGGGAGAGGCGGGGGAGGATACCCAGAATGAGGGAGGCGACGAACGCGGTGGCGACGCTGCTGGCACACAGCAGCACGGCGTGGTGGAGGTCGAAGTTGCCCTCGGGGATCCAGCCCATGATGACGGCGGCAATCGCCGCCAGGAAGCCGACCACCGTCGCCTGGACCTGTGGGCTCACAACGACGTCATCGAATCAACCCGACGCGTCACTCTCGTTTGAAGCAGGACGCGACCTGAAAATAAACCAGATAGATATTTGATTATGGGCTCTTAAAGAGATGCACACCCAAGCTGCAAGTCCCAGCGTTCTCAAATATCAACGTGAAGCTTCACCAAAGAGTAATTAAAAGGGTTTAGAAGAGTAAATAACACGTGTTGTTGATCGTTTCGTTTTTCAGCCAATTAATGAGTGTTTATGCATGCGAGCGGGCAACACTCATTCCCCGAACAGATGGAAACAGGTGGCGATTAGTCCACTCGCTGTGCCGCCTTCTCCCGGCGAGCCAGTGTACAACGCCCACGGGAAGGGGGAGTCTCGCAACATCTGTGCACCGATCCGCCAACCCTCGAGCGTGCGTAGCCACCACCGCTCAGGCGAGCTGACAAAAACCTAGCGAATGAGCAATCGCCAGCGCACAGCCGATTGTCGCCGGGAAAACCACGCTCGGAGTGGGGGGGGCGCGCGCGCCACCGCCGCGTTTGCACCCGCTCGTCGCCCACGCTACGTTTGCGGGCCTGCAGAGGGCACCCAGCTTATCGGCCAACGAGCCCCCCGGCGACGTCAACAGGATGTCGGGCGCCTACGCAGCGAGCGGAGGCTAAACGGGGGCCAGCGCGCGTGGCGGCGGGGGGGCGCCGATCTCTCCCACCTGGATGAGCGCCAGGTTGCTCGTGATCATGCGCCATTGCTCCGGGGCAGAGTCCATGTGCCCGATGTTGGCCTGATCGCGGTAGACGCACGGGAGAGAGGGGGGGGGGGTCAGGAGAGGCCACGACGAGCGTTGACGGTGCCGATAAACGACGTCGCAGCTGTCAATGCAGCGAGGCGAAGCGTCTCCGCCGTCACTAGGGGGCTCCAAAGCACGGTGGAGACATTTGCCACCAAAAGCACGATCGCGAACCTGCGAAAACCGGGGATTAATTTTACCCCGAAATTTAAATATTGCCGCACCCGGCTCACCACACCCAGTACGACTCTCGCTACAGCTGTGGCGACTAGTCACGTGCCACCTACTGGAAGGAACCACAGCCTTGGTGTGGCTATCCTATAAACGAAATCATGACAGCACTTGCAGTGATGGACAACGGCCCGTCATCGGCGCCACTTTCTAACCGAGGCGCTGGCGGCTTCCGCGAAAGGGGGCCGATGTCGTCACGGCGCAATCGCCAGCCTCCATCGCCGTCCACCTCCGTCGTCGTCCGCCTCGATCGCCCATCGCCACCGCCGCCTCATCGTGCGAGATCCGCGCCGGTGTCCCGAGGCGCGTAAACCACGCCGCCCTTAATCCACCCGGGGTTGCCGAATCTCGATTCGCGGACAACCCGCTGCCGCGACCTTTGCCGGCCGTATCGCTTCGTATCCCCGCGAGAGCGCGTCGCCGGCGCGGCGGTCACACGAGCGCACGCGCGCGCGCGTCTCTATTGACCGCGCGAGCAACGAGGCGCGGCGCAAATGTTTGCTTTGCACACGCGCGGCGAAGCCGTCAGCTGCTTGGCAACCGCGGGGGGGGGGGCGGGATGCAGCGGTGGCGACAATTGCGGCGGCACTTCCAATAAATAAAGGATTAGAGAAGGGCGGAGGACGGTGTTTTTCAGAATATAAAAATCGGCTTTTCTCCAATATATTCTTATTGACCAACACGGCCGATCTCAAGAGATCTCAGAAGCGAAGCAGAATTTGAGCCCGGACAGTGCTCGGATGGGTGACCGCCACGCGCAAACAGGTTGTCAAGATGGCTGAGGGGTTTACGAGGGTGGCTTCGGCAAAATCGATCGCTGTCCTGTACTTCTACGCTCCCACATCCATGCTCATAGTCTTCACATACCCACACTGACTGGAACAGATAAGTGCGGTCAAATAACCCCAAACACCCCGCACGGTAGAGGAGAGGCCCTCATCCAGCAGTGGATTGACACAACGGAACGTATACTTTATTTGTTCATTAATATATTTCACTTGGATAATCCCTGGCAATCGATGCCTCCTTTGCAAAGGGTGTGTATGCACGTAAGTTGAACCTCTTTCGCACCGTACGTAGGGTGTCAACTTGTCATAGCAAGCGCACGGCACCGTATGTATTCCCGCTGTGCCGCTATATCTCTGACCCTGCCACTGAGGAGGCGAAAGGCCACGTCGACTGGACGGCCTTCCAGGATCACAGTGCACCACCTCGTGTCAGGGTCCCGGAAGGAGCCCCCACAGAACCAACTGTGGTTATAATAAACATACATTAAACAAAACATTATACAACAGCGTCATTCGTGCCAAATGCATCTCACAACGCTGTACAATCATTATGTGAAAGGGCTAAATGCTATTTGTAACAATTATTCAGTGAAGGAAGACCCTCGGCAACTAAAGGTAATCAAAACAAATAAAGAAACGGCATAAAAACTAAAGGTATGCAACAACAACAAACAACAAAAAAATAATAAATTCAATCGGCATCGTCGGCATCCTCACTCGGGGCATAACCTTTCATAAACCCTGAAAAGAAAATTAATTACACGTCAAGCTCACCTCAGAGCTCAAGGGTGCATGTGTCGGGGAGGAATGGAGTGGGGGGGATGGATCGGAGGGGGGGGGGGTACAGAGCGGGGGGGGGGGGGAGTGTTGTGTAGTCATTCACGGCCGGGCTGAGACCATCAACGTGAGAACCCAGCTCAATCACGGGGCGGTTGAAACACGGAATCAAACGGCAGGGTCTCAGCAGCGGCTGGCTCCCAGCTCTGATTTGGCATCGGCCACCCGACTCACAGGGCCACCTCCTCAACGGAGGGAGGGCATTGGACGAGGGAGGCATGAAGCCTCCCAGAGTCGCCCTCTCCCGTCCCAGATATCGAGAGAAATGCCACGGCAATAGCTTCAGGCAGCACTTGGTACGCATGCGCGGGTGACCAGTCTGGCTCCTGCAAACCACTCGGATGGGTTTGTTTCTTTTAATAATATCTAAAAAGTTATAAATATATAAAGGGTGCAGCTCTGGAGTTGGTTGCTCATGCTACTACTGCAAGAAGGGCCTCTACGAGAGGGAGTTCTGGAGTGCCTCTCTAAAGGGCATTTTGGTGCGCTCTGCCATGCTGGCCAGACGGCTTGGGAGAGGTGGTAGCACCCACACTTTACCCCACCACACGCAACCTTGCTAGATTTGAAGCTTTCGTGACTGCAAGGATTCATACTCTTAGGTTTTTCGGTAAAGTCACGTAGCAAAAATAAATAATAATAAATGAAAATAACTCAATTAAGTCACGACGTTTCGGAAGCAACACAAGCCTCCGTCATCAGGTGTAACTGTTGCTTCCGAAACGTCGTGATTTAATGTAGTTATTTTCATTTATTATTATTATTTTTACGCACGCAACCTATTGACCGGCTAACTGTGGCATACCCCATTCATACCGCTGGGGGGGACAGACGCGCATATCTGGTTCCAGACATGCGTTCATATTTCCACGTGATGATAATCCACTTCGTTGAGCTATCATTTGTGGCCAGGTCGCTCCTGAAAAAGAGCTGTATAGCTCAGTGGGCCTTACGCGGAAAAATAAAAAAATGTTTATAGTTTAGTTTTAGACCGACATGCTAACCATCACACCACCGCGGTGAGATCCGCTTGAAACATATTACTTTGAATAATTGTTTTGGTGTTGAAACAGACCTGTGCATTTAATTATTGTTTTATTCTTTAATTACTCGCAATCCACCAAGGCAGTATATTTTTAGATATTTTGTGTACTCTGCTGCATGACTCCACATGTTTGCAGAATGCTGTTGCCTCTGACACTGCACCACTTATTTAACAGGCTGCGCCAAATTATGTGAGTCGGGGAAGTTGAAACCAGTCCAAGGTTTTTCTCCTTGAAACACAAATGCAGCTGAAATGTAAATTCAGCCGAAATAAGTGCACATGCTGAGTGGTCCAAATGTTATTTTATTGCACTTTTTGGCGACTACCTTAACTGCATATTCATTATTTAACATGCTTGCTTTAAAACAAATTACGATACAATAACTTTCAACAATTAATATAATTTATTTTCGTTCACCGCAACTGGCCCCTATGGTCTCTGAAAGCCTACAGCGAAATCAATTAGCCAACCCTTATTTTTTTACTCCGGTTTGAATAGAATTCACCGGTTTTCAATTGGGAAAGTCGCAAACATCAACGCACTTTAGAGTACATCTTGGTTCATCTCGGATCATGGCCCCTCCCACCCCACCCAACCTTAACATACGGGAGCATTGACAAGAGGAAGTCGGCTGCGAGGGGGCAATCCCTACCGCGGTGGAGAGGCGAGACGCCAGGGTCATCTCGAGGTTCCCCTTGAGGCCCAGCAGGGCCGGGACGAGGATGAACACCTCCTCCACGTGCTTGAACACCGGCCAGTGCTGCACGCACGCACACACACACACACACGGGGGGGACGGGACAGCGAGCACACACACACACGCGCTCGGTGACAACGAGCGGGACACACGAACACAAACAATCGGCGGCACCGCTCCGGCCGGCGTCCGCGGCGCAGCACACCGGAGGAGAGGAGTGTGATTTGTAAAAGTAATCGCAAGTACTAAACCCAAGCCACACGATTGCCAATTACAGTGTGAATGTGAATTAAATTACGACACTCAATTACTGAAATGCTTTCAATTATCTCGTTGAAATTTTTTTTGTAAGCTTGTTAATCGGTGGGGGGGAAGAGTCGGACAGGATGAATGTCGTTTCTTTGGGTCTGATAATTAATCGGTCGTAAGAATGTGTGCTCTATAAACAGACACAGGCCACATGCACAGCCACAACCACGGTGCTATGATAACGGCGTGAATACCAAACGCACTGAATTATTATTTCTTATCAATTGTGCCACCCTCTTGGGAGAACAATGCACCACCAAAGATCCTGGGTTCGAATCGAAGGGAGCCGCCCATGACTAAAGAGTTCTCACACGCAGAGAATCGATGGTCTAGGCACGGTCACAAATAACCGCTCAACAACAGCGTGACGTTACACGTATCGTGTGTTTCGTTTCACTGAATTCGGCTGATTTCAGCTATAAGACTTGGAAATTGGATCAGTTTGCTTTCGTTGGCATAAAGGAAATCGTCGAGTGGCACTTCAGTTCAGTGCTTCTCAGAGTGCGGGCCCAGGCACAGCGGTGATCCGCGACAATCTTCCAGGTGGACAATAGTGGCAATGCTTATCATACCTTTTGCTTCAGACATTACTTTATATTTTACTTTAGATATGCAAGGGTAAACTACCCTGATTAAACTACTCTAACTCTAAAATCAAAATGCTCCCCCCCCCCTCCAAAAAAAACTAAAACGGGCGCAAAAAAAGAATTATGATAATTGGTTTTTGACCCTTCTATCTGGCAACAAAACTGACACCTTTTTTTACAAGGAGTCATGTTTGCATAGACCACAATACCTGCAGTCGTAATGCAAACAAAGAACATAACTCTGATAATGTATGCACTGTCCTTGAATTCGATTGGTCCACACCCAACTTCAAGGACAGTGCATACATTATCAGAGTTATGTTTTTTGTTTGCATTAAGGCTGCAGGTATTGTGGTCTATGCAAACATGACTCCTTGTAAAAAAAAAGTGTCAGTTTTGTTGCCAGATAAAAGGGTAAAAAACCAATTATCACAATTTTTTACTGGCAAATGAGGTTCCAATGGTGTAAAAAAATTTATGTTCAGGTAAATATGAATAATTTAGTATTCCTGGTATTTAGAGACAGGTGAATGCGTTTTGTCACCATGGTGGGGGGCTGTGTGGTGCACGCAAGTGTTTGCATCGGCCGAGTGATCCGCGGGCCAAACAGTTTGAGGCACACTGCTCCAGATGACTTTTTAATTTTCTTCATAGCGACGTCAGGCTACCTCCAGGGGGAGTTGGCAACACCGTGGGTGTGCGCACTCACGCACACACCACAACAACCACAACAACAACCACCATTCTCCACTAAGTGGCAGTTACATCACCATGGCGATCACGCAGGGCTAGAGACCCTCTGAGAGAGCCTGCCACGTGAAGTGTCAAACTCGGAGGTGTTACGGGTTAACCGAGATGACGGACAGATACACCACCTGTGCTCCCCACTGTATCACTTTGCAGTGGTACAATTTTAGCCGCCCAGTGATCCGCTAGTTGTTGTGAGCATCCGACGTCAACACTCCCCCACATGCGCAAATAAAATGAACCCCCGTATAGCCTTAACAGACTTTTGGGGCAAGTACTGTTGGCGAGCACCTATGAAGGCCGGCACGGTACACGAGGGGGTGGGTGGCCAACACCATTTGTCTCCCCAGTGGCGATGTCCACACATCGCACCAGATACCCACTTGAGGCTGAGTCGATCTAGGGGAGGCCCAGGACCGGCTCAGATAATCGTCACTGGTGTTTGCCGTGAGTGGGAATCGAACCCGGGTCGCCAGGTTCGTAGTGCAGCACAGCGCTAACCACTACACTACCACTCCGCACTGGCACACACACACACGCACACACATGCACCGGGCTATGTATAGAGACAGCCAGCTCCGTGTGGGTTGCACGGCCGCTTCGTCAAAATAGACGCGACGCTTGCGGGTGGTCGGCACCGTGCGGCCCGGCAGGGCGGCAACGGCTGCGCGGGACGCGGTGACGAGCAAATCTGCGAGGGCGCCGCTGCTCGCCGACCGCTACGCGGGCTCGCTGTGCGCACGCCGCCGTGCCGCGTGTTGCGAGGGCGACCGTAGGCTCGCTCGCTCGCTTGTGCGTTAACGGTCGCGGATGTAACGGTATAACCCTACCACCGAGTTTGAGTTGATTTTGATTCGTTGCACGGATGGTCCCGTCGAATCGGTTGCCCGGCTGTCTCGCGAGGGAGATTCCTCGTGTTGTGAGCACAGCAGCCGCATATCAATCGAATAGAGTTTCATTGGTTATGCTTCAGGATGATACTTGTTTTATTTACACACACAACTCTGTTGTCAATCGACTCCTGGATGAGGGCCTCCTCCCAAGCTGTGCAGGACGTGGGGGTTATTTGGCCCCCGCACTGGTCGGTACGGGTTGTTGTTGTTGTTGAAGGTTGGGAGAGCACAGACCAAAGTACAGTACAACAATCGATGTTGCTGCACCGCTCTTTACTCCTCACTACTCAATTTAGTTGAACGCCGCTGGGCTGCCTCGAGCTCCCTCGAGTTGCAGGCCCCTTCTGCCAACGGTGGCTTGAGCGCGGCAATTGCAGGGCTGCGCCTTTCCCTCTCACAACGCCACACGTTGCACGCCAGCATTCCGATAGGCCGCCGACCGCCGCTCGGCTTTGCTCCGGCTACGCACTAAAAGCGATTGCGCGCGGGAATAAAGCAAACAGCGACACGGAAACCGCTATTCATCTTGCCCCCAAACAAGCCAAGTGAGAGAGCCGATCAATATCTGCGAGGACGCGGCGCAATGTGGGGACGCCCCGACCGCTGAGCGAGCGAGCGACGTGCGACTCGCGCATTGACCCAGTTTGCTCTGCCTGTGGACGCAAAGCCGCTCTCTGCCACGTCTGCCCACTTTTTCGCCAACTCGTTCCCGATTCATTCCGTCTGCCAAACGGCAGCTGCCTTGAAAGACGTTAAAATTAAATCATCGAGTTCCCTCGGGCGTGCACATGTCGGCGTTGAGAACGTTCAGAAGGGGAAGTGGCCAGGTAGGTCAGAGGTCACAGCGCTGAACTGGTACCGTTGAGATCCCGGGTTTAATGCAGGCAACTGGGTTTCATTACAACCCGAGTTCAAATCAAGGCAGCTGCCTATAATTATTAAACCGGGTTCTCAAGTGTAACGCGGAAGTGGTCTCAGCCCGGTCACCAGTGATCGTACAAACAGCACCATCACAATCAATTTGGTTTCGTGCCGGAGAATTGCAAGCAATGCTCTGACTGTCATGCAATGAACACTGCTGTGCCCTGCCACAGATGGCAGTGCCTCTTACTGCGTGCACCAGAGGTCACTTGAAGGGATCTCAGAGGTAGCTCTGTGATATCTGCTCCTGCGGGTCGTTCTCCGCACCGCCGCATGAGAGTTGCCAATTGATGCTTTCACTCATTGCATGATGCCGCGAGCGAAATGAAGATAGAATTGGGGGAAAAGCCAACAACAAACATGAACACACGGATTTTTTTTTTATATTTCAACAACAACAAATTGTATCTCATTTTTTTCATCTTCATAGGTTGTGCTAAATGTTTCAATACAATTTTGGTCCGGCAGTGTCTCATGTATGGCTGTTATCCATAATACCCAGTTAAGCAGCAACGTCGATTTAACAGGTTACACCCTACTGGGGAGGCTCAGGGATGAGAAATGGACACGGGGGGGGGGGGGGCGGAATAAGCGCCAACGCAAAACCCTGATCCCATCTCCCGCCAACGATTGATTAGACGTATTCCAATGTTGGTTATTCAATGAAGCTCATTATTTATTCACGTCCTTTTATAATTCTGCACGAAATTCTCTTGTTATTATTCACGGGAAATGGAATAACACGAGCACGTGGGCACGCACAAAGACAAAGGTCCCCTTGTATAGCCTTTAACAGGCCGGTGGGGCAAGTGCCGTCACGGCACACGAGGAAGTTGGTTTGGCGAACACCATGCCCAGCCGTCTTTGTCTCCCCATTGGCGATGTTTACACACCGAACAAGGTACTCATTTAAGACCTAGAGGAGGCCTAGGACTTGGTTCAGATATTCGTCACTGATGTCAGCTGTGAGCGGGAATCGAACTCCATCTGCCGGGTTGGTGGCGCAAACTGCTAACCACTGAGCCACAGCTCATCTCGGGCAAACATGCACGCACATGCACGCACGCACGCACGCACATGCACGCACACGCACGCGCACGCACACGAGCATGCACGAGCACACAGACACACGCACACGTACGAAAGCACGCACATACACACACACGAGCGTGCACGCACAGGCGATTAGGTTAATCCCTCTCATGTGGGATGAGGAGGCACCATTTGCTCCCGCGTGCCCAAAGCCGCGTTAGCCCACGTGGAAATCCACCCCGAACCGCCCGCTCGTTACACAATCGCACGCCTTCGCGAGAGCCAACCTGATCCAGAGCCTGCGGATACCTTCCCCGGCGCTCGTAAACTTTAAACGCTCGCCGATCGCGCAGCTGTCAGGCGATGATCTTTCTCCACTCGGGGTGTTTTCATTTTGTTTGTCCACGCGTCCCAACTCGGGTGACGAACGTGGATCGCGGAGTAGTGGCTGACGACCTCGCCGGGAAACCGTTAAGCACCGTCATCAAGATAAAGTTTACAGTGCTCCGTCAATCCACTGCCACATGTCGGCCTGCCCGTGGCGTGCTCGGTCAAGGGCCTCGTTTGACCATAC